TTGCTCTCTGACTCCCCAGTGGTTGGGGGGGGCGTGTCAGGCAGTGCTCATGAGTTCCTCCATCCCAGATGTTGAAAGAGGGTGTGCTGGCCACGCTATGGGATTATCTAAAGGGAAGCCCCGTGCCCTCAATACAGAGTCAAGTGGACGAGAAGGGCAGCTGTGTGTAGTAGTGGAAAAGAGCCATAAAGTGTGGAGCCTGCGGGTCCCCAGGAATCAGTTGTCCCATCTTTCCTAATTCACCCCTTCTGCTCCTTTGTGCCTTTCAGGTGAGGGTCCAGAGTATGGGCCGGGAGGGGAAGACGCGCTCACCAGGATCCAGAGACTGATGGCCGAAGGTGGAATGACGGCGGTGGTGCAGCGGGAGCAGAGCACCACCATGGCCTCCATGGGTGGCTTTGGCAACAATATCATCGTCAGCCACAGGATCCACAGAAGCTCCCAGACGGGTTCAGAGCCAGGGCCGATGGACGGCGGGGCTCCCCGCCCCTCTACCTCCCGAGGGCTGGCCCCAGAGCCTGAGGGCCACAGCCTCCCAGAGCTAGAGCCGGCGGCTGAGCGAGGCCCGAGCCACCGGACGGGCACTGCCAGGCCAGCCTCCCCAAGCACTGTGGGACCAATCTCATACAGTGATCTAACCAACAATAACCGGCTTTCTGACAGCACCGGGTGCCCTAGTGGAGAGCCGAGGGATAGGTAGAAACAGCTCTGCCCGTGGGTGCCACCCCTCGTACTGCTGAGCAGAGACCTGACCTCGTAGCCGACTAGAAACTGTGCACATGGAGAAGCTGCTGGCCACAAAGGGGGGATCCGATGGGTTGCAAGAGAGGGCTGAGAGGGGAAGCCGGGGCAGCATTCCCCACGTTAACCTTCCGGAGGCCAGGGACACACATACACACCAGAACTTCGTGACCATCCCACTGCCCTGTTCGGTGGTCACCCGGTACTACCCTCTGTGCACCAAGGCCCAAAATGGGCAGAGTGGGCCTCTGGGCTTTTCTCACCACGAGTCCTCTTCTCTCATGGGGCAAGGGATAGGAAGAGGCCTAAAGGCCATGAGGACAAATCGTCTTCCAGCTCTGGGGAAAGCCTGAAGTGAAGACAACTGTGTTCCCAGGGCAGGGCTGCTGGGACTTTAACCCGCTGGAAAGGAGGAGAATCCTAGCCCCCTCGAAGTTCTCTCCCATCTCTAGCCTCTTCAGATCCAAAGAGGGCTTCAAACCAGGGCATCTTAGGCTGAGCTCTGGGAATAACTTAACTGGTGGGGGGACAGCTATTTGGTGATGGGGTCAGTTCACTTGCTTACTGAGGATTTTTTTTTCCCCAGGGAAAGGGAAGTGATACAGATTAGTGGGCAGGAGCTCATTCAGGGAGCTTGGGACAAGGAGGGGTGGGTCGCAGGACAGCCTGCCTGTGGGTTGCTTCACCAAGATCCTTCCCCAGTGCCCACCGGAGCACTGGCTTCGTGTGTCAGTATTATGACCCTGGGCAGATTATCTGCCTGGCTCAGGGCTGGGCAAGGGGCGCAGCTCCGGGTCAGAGGGCAGGGTGTCAGTCTGTCCTGTCAGGTGTTGCATGTGAAATCTTGAACTGTACGTGTAGTTTCTAGTAGAGAAATCAAGGCTCTGATGATTTTGTTTTTAGTATAAAGAAATGTGATTTCCTTTCTGTTTGTTAACTCATCATAGAGACATTTTGGTGGGAGGAGAGGGGGATAGTCTGACTGCTAACAAGGGAAACACCAAAGATCAATGTCATTAAAATGATGGCTGCCCTTCTGTTCTTACTTTATTTGTGCCTTTATGCTGCTTTGGGTCCACATGCCCTTCCCAAGATGTCTCCCTTGGGTTCACCCTGGCAGGACATTCTGAGATAGCATTGCACAGTCCCTTACCTGACCTTTAACCCCAATACTTTTGAGTGCCCAAGTCATCTGGCTCTGGTCACTGCCCATCCGTCACCATTCAGGTGACTGATGCCTCTCTGTGCTCCTTCCGTGGAAGCTCAGCCCTACCCACTGTCAGATGACTTAGTTCTGAAGAGCTCACCCACCCTAAAGAAGTTTAGGGCCTCTTCCCTGGCGCTAAAGAGGAGTGCAGATAGCAATTTCTATACCTGGTGTGAACCAGGAAAAAGGGGATCTGAGCTTAGGAACAGTGAAAGCAGAGTCCTGCTGAGTAAGACGTTGGATGGATCCCATTCAGGGGCTGAATGACCCAGGCTGCCTCCTGCCCCAGCCCTGCCGAGTGTCAAATGAGATAATGTAGGTGAAAGCACTCTCGGTCGACATTTATTTGTACAACTCTGTAAATATTAGTACTATTAGCAGAACTCATTGAGACAAGAGAGTGCATTAGCGTGGGCCCTCCTACAAGGATGTAGGTGAGGGGAATTATACATTATCTCTTGTTCTCCCTGGTGTCACTTGTATGCACACCATTGTGCCCATGAGGAGCTTATAATCTAGCCAAGAAGACAAAATTAGAGAATCTGGGAAATATTTATTGAACACAAACATGGCAGGGCCTTGAGTTTTGTAGTCCCAAGGAAATAGAGTTTCGTAGTAGTACACGTGGAGGCTTCCAAAAGGAGATGGAGTCCGAGCTGAAGCTCCAAGAATGAGTTTGTAGTGAAGGAAAAGGCATTCTCTGCCTAGTCTTTGCTTTATTTCATCCTCCCTTCTGCCATTCCAAACGGTGTGTGTGAGACCTGTATTTTACAATACTTAAACACAAAAAGTCATTAAACTAGGACATACAGGAGAGGTTGGGTAAGAACAGAGCCCTGGATTGGAGCAGCCTTTCCAAAAAGCGGCCAGGGTTGGGTGCTGACCTCTTCTTTGCCCTAGGAGTGGCTGTCCTGACCCTGGCCTTCCATCTTCTGGTCTAGTCGGGTGACGGCCCAGCCGCATGGACTAGAGGCTGGTGCTCCCTGGCCTGTGAGATACAAGGATAGTAGAGTATCAGAACTTCTCTGCCTTGCCTGGGATTCTGAAGACCTTTCTCAGACCGCTGGTACTTGGGGGGAGTTAAGTAGTTAGGACTCAGCTCCTCCACAGATCTGTCACCCACCTCTCCGAAAGTCTGGTGCCCTCCACCAGAAAGCCCCAAGAGCTCACTGCCCGCTCTGGGGAGTGCCCTCTACTTCAAGTGCTCAGAACCTGCCTTGAAACAGACTTTTCCCCCTCTCTCCTTCGTTTCAGTAGGGGCAGAATAAGCCCTAATGTGCAAGGTGAGCCTAATAGGGAGAGTCTTCATATAAATTTTTATTAACGCATATATTTTTAATTTTGGGAAATCCCACACTGTGATTTTTGTGTGTTTTTTGGGTCCTGCAACTTGTGGCAGGGTGCAAAGGGGCACAAGTTGGGAGGGCAGTCGTCAAGCTTTGGCCACGATACCAAAAGCTTTCGCCAGCCCACTGCCCAGGAACGAGGTGCTAATGAGCAATGTCCAAAGGACGAGGTGTTCGCTTGGGCAATCCAGTCTCTTGCCCGGGGGCTTCTCCAGAGGCCTCTAAAATGCCTTTCGGCTTATCAGACCCCCATCCCATCAACTACTGGAAAGCAGTTGACTCCCGTTACCTTGGGGAGTGCGCAGAGGCAGGCCCCTGGCTGCCAAGAAACTCCCTTCCCCCTGCCCCGCCTACCACCCTTACCTGTCGCTCTGGCTTCTTCCGTCTCTCGGCATCCCCCTAGGTCCCGGTCCCCTGGCAGCCCGTCTGGATAGGGAAAGGGCCTGGCAGGTTAGGGGGTAGAAGGCTGGAACCGAGAATTCATAGATCCTCGAGGGCGGGGGCTGGGCGGGGATTAGGGTGTTGTGCCTTAGAAAGAACAAACCCTTTTATAGCATCCCGGGAGGGCCTATTCGAGGCATATCTGCAAGGCTGGGGGAAGGGGATGCATGTGGTGACAGTCCCTGCTGCAAAGAGGAGAATCCATGCGCATGACCCTTCCCCACTTCACACTCTGGGGCCACTGGCAAAAGCTGAGGGCAGACTGAGCAGCTGGGGCGGTGGAATTCGAAGTGCCTGAAGAGCTCGGAGGAGAGCCTCAGCCGCCCGTGCACCCGCCCCTAGCCAGGTCTCATTAAGGTACCCCAGGCTTAGCAGCGTGGCCTCCACGCTGCCAAGAATCCCCACGGACCGGAAGCTGGCAGCCAGTGCACTTGACTCCAACCCCAGCGACCGCGAGCAAACCTGCCCCACCCACTGACTCCCACCCGTTACCTACAGTGTCATCCGTCCACAGTGAGGTGCGCTCGTTTCGGAGAGATCTGAAGGATGACCTTATGAGAGGAGTCTGTGCCCAACCCGGGTCCAGACCTCCAAAGTCAGAGGAAAGGAATGGGCGTGTGAAGGGTGGACGGGGCCGACAGGGGCTCCTAGTTCTCCATGGACCCCGCTCGTCCTTTGAATGTCTCCCCACCCCCTAGCCGCCCCCACCCCCGCCTTCCACGAACTGCCCTGCCCAGAATAGCAGGACCTCCGAAGCAGTTCTCAGGTCACAAATTAAGTCTGAGGACCTGAAGTCCGGTGACTTCGGGGACCCGTCCGCCTGGTCTGAGCCGCAGGTGCGGCGATTCCCTAGCGACGCATCTCATGGCGACCCCCGGACAGAGGAAAGGAAGCGGCGTCGGTGGTCTCGGGCTGAGCCCGGAGGTGTGCTCGGACTTTGGGGACTGGGCACAGAGCACCGGGGGTTAGCTCCGGGCAGGAACCTCGTAACCTTTCCTGGGGGCCGTGTCACCACGACAACGAGGACCCTCTCCCCCAAACACACGCACTAGGACCCCCGGGAGGACCGCGCCTCGCGCCCGGGACGTTCCAGAGGTTGCAGCTGTAGCCCAGAGGGCCAGCGGCCGGGCTCCCGCGGGCACCCCTCGGGTTGGCCTGGTTAGCGCGAAGAGCTGAGCGCAGCCCCGCGGAGGGGAGCGCGCGGCGCGGAGGGGGGGTGCAGGGAGGAGAGGCGAGTGGGGCCGGCAGCCCGTGGGGCTGCCCCGCGGTGATTGGCTGCCTCTCCGTGACATCACGAGGCTCGGGGAAAAGTGCGAGGGTGAGAGAGACTCGGAGACACAGCCGCCGGGAGCCGCGGACCGTGCAGGGGCAGTCCCCTCCGCACCCCGAGCCGCACTGCCCCCCGCCCGTCTCGGCCCCGGCACGGCCCCCGCGGCGGCCACCTGGCCAGTGGCATTCTGCCTGGGTCCGGCCCGACACCCCTCGCCTGCCCCTCCCCGCTCTGCTGTCCAGTTCACACCCGTCCCGTCCATCCCATCCTGTCCAGTCTGTCCCGCCAGGGCCGCTGAAGGAGCCTCGGGGCAGCCCGGAGCAGCGCAGCCCAACAGGGTAAGTGCGGTCGGAGAGGGCGCGTGACGCGCCCGCCCGGGGCTGGACTAGCAGACCAACGCACTGATGGAACCTAGGAGGGAGTCTGGAGCCCTGCAGGGACGCCCTGGGGTCAGAGGAAGGGGGGGTCAGGAGCCAGAGGCCCCCAGAGAGAGGAGGGGTGCTTCGGGTCGCCGGGATGAGCCGATGGGTGGATGGGCGTCGGGGAGCACACAGCCTAGGAGCGGCCTTGGACAGGCGGGCGCCCGCCTCCCAACTTACCCTGGGCTTTGAGCTCCGAAATGGCCCTGGGGCCCCTGGCTCCGGGCCCCCGGTCTTGGGGAGGTGGGGGTGGGGGGGCTTCCACTCTCTGCGGTTCCGCCACAGCCTCTGGCAGCGCCACTCCTATTCCTCCTACCCGGGAAAGCTTCCCTCCTGATTCAGGATCCCCAGAAGCAGCGACAAGTCCAATCGGGAACCATTCCTCCCGCTCTGTGCACCCCATTCAAGCAAGCCCCGTGCCTGAGCCTTCCTCCCTGAGCTGCGGCCTCGTGGGTGTCCGAGAGCTCCCACCCATCTATCCCCCGGGTTTTTTATGTGTGGTATAACCTGGGCCGCACCCTCGGGATTCCACATTCCCTTCTCTAGCTCTCTTCAAGGACCCCCCCTCCCAAGGCTATTTCTGAAGGGAGAAAGGACTCCAGTGGATCTTTTCAACCACCTTAGGGCCTCCTCCCACAACCCCCAATCCTGGGGAGGGAGAGAGCTAGTGGGGACTGGGACCTCACAGGGCAAAACTGTAGTATCCATGCATCTCCAGTCCCCGGGAGAAACCAGTCACCAAAATCGAGTTCATGGCGTCATCACCATGGGTGACCTCAGGCGGCAGTGATTGCTGAGCAGGGGGGCAACACGGCACCCCCAGACCGCTCCCAGGGCTGAGCTCCCCTTGCTATCTCTGAGGACCGGAGGTAGACCCGGGTGGAGACCGACCCCGGAGCGTGCTACCTGCAGCCGGGGACGCACCTGTCGCTAAAGAGCCCAGGGCTCAGGGAGCGTTCCCTCACCCAGCCTTCCAGGAAACAGTCTTAGGGATTGCATATTCCCACTGCATGCAACTAGGCACTTGGACACAAAAACACAGTCTCTAGGGCGAGTTCTGGAGCTCACCTCCTGCCAGCTTCTTCCAAAGCTCTGGGCCAACCACAAAATCCAACCCGGGCAGCCCCTCCTAGGCAACATCTGGCTGCAGCGGCAGCACCATCTCTGCCCTCGGCTCTGGCCCTGACCCTGTGGGGCCTACAACTCTTCCTGCAACCTGTCTTCCCGAGTTCCCGACAGGCAAGCCCCAAATGCCTTCTGTGAACCAATGATTCATAGGGCTGATCCACTGTTCCCCATCGGAGCTCTCCAGATTCAGGCTCCTAATTAGGTGCCGGGCTGCTTGTGACAGCTCCTTAAGATTCTAAGCTTTCCCTAGTCCTGAAGGAAGAACGTCAGCCCCTTCCCCAAGGCTGTGGCCTCATCTCCCTTTTACCTCTGACTCTTACAAAGAAGTATCAAATTTCGAGTGATCCAGCATCCCCAGGTCAGAGCTCCCATGTCCTGATGGATGGGGAGGGCTTGAGCACAGCCATGCATCGGGGGCAGCTGGGCATGCAGAACAGAAATTGGATGGACAAGCCTTCTGGCCCCTATAAAAGGACTTCCTTTGGCCCAAGGGGAGAAGGAAGCTGGCATTAGATTAGAATCTTCCCGACCCCCACCCCCAGCTCCCTCACCTTAATGTAGCAGGAGAGATTTGAAACTGGAATTTCTTTTTCTAGTATATGACTTGGGATAGGAGTGAGAGAATTTGATATTGCACACCTACCCCTGGAAAAGGTGGGAAGGACTTCCCAGACTCACCAGATGAAGTCTCTGCCCCTTTCCCTTGCAGGCTCTCTGGATCCCTCAGCATCTCCATCTTGCCCCACTCCTTGTTCCCCCTGGAGAAGGGGTCTGGGACTGAGGACTGAAAAGTCATGTCCCAGCGGGTAGCCAGCACCTCTTCTTTTTTTTTCTGCTCAGTTTTTATTTGCTGTCCTCCTCCTCCTCCAAAACCTGACATTTTAAGGCCCTGCGACTGTACAAATCTATACAGCATTGGCCGCGTGCCCATCTACATATGCCCATTTACATGCATGCACTGGGTCCATCCATACACGCACACACTCAGTGTGTGAATGTGGGAGAGGCCCTAGACAAAAAGTATGCTTGCTGATTGCAATCAGCTCCCTCCCTTCCGTTCCTGTTTCCACCCAGGCACCTCTTCGATCACCCCTCCACCTTCGCCGTCAGCCTCCCCAGGTTCTGGAAGGGCAGATGGCTAAAATCCGACATCCCTAACTTTCTCCCCCCATCTCTGGTCAGCCCTGATCTTCCAGGACTCGGAGCATGGCTGAGAAACCCCTAAGCCCAGTCTGGGAAATCATCCTCAGCATCCTCCCTCTCCCTAGCAAGGCATGACTCTCTAGACCAAACTTGCAAAGTGAGACAAGGACCTTCCTCTGGTCCTCTCTTCACCACCTCCCCTCTCCCGTCTCCTCCATCATTTCTTTTTCCCTTTCCCAAAGCTCTGGCCCCATCAGAAGGTACGATTCTGCTAAGCTTCTGGTAGGGTCAACAGCACCATCTAGTGGTGATTGCAATCTCTTCAGTGCGCAGGCCCTGCCTACCTGCCTAGCCAGATCAGGGCTGTGTGGGAGATGGACAATAGCTTTGGGAGCTGGAGTGCAAGGGTGGAGGTGGGGGGGGGTTGGGGCATCAGGGAGGATACTGTATCCATTCTTCTCCCTAGGGTGACGGCTCCTTGCTGCAAGCAAGCACGAGCCCCAGCCCTCTCCCCAGCAGGGGCCCCACAACGGATGGGACTCCCCTCCCCGCACAGCTCCTCCCTGTCTGGAGGCACCTGCCTCTAAGGCTCTGGAGGCTCAAAGGGGGAAAAAGCAGGATCCCATTTCCCCACCATGCCTGCCTCTTCACAGGCCCGTGATTGGGCCACCACAGGGATCCCTTCCATCCAGGACCATGTCCAGTGCCCAGCTTCACAAAACCCTTCCTCTGCCCCTCTCCCCAACACACACACACATACACACTCTGGAGGTATCATCGGAGGAAGTGGCCTCTCATAGCATGAACAGGAAGGCGTGGAATCCAAAAACCTGATTTCTTACTTGGACTTTGTCCTGTACCAACTTTGTGACCTTGAGCAAATCACTTCCGTCTGGCCTCAGTTTCCTCAGCTGCAACGACAACAGTAAACATTCATCCAGAGCTTTCTGTGTGCCAGGCACCGGACCGTGCTAATCACTGGGGCTACAAAGAAAGGTAGAAACGGCCTGGCCTCTAGGAGCTCACAGCCCCCAGACAACTGTCTGCTTACCTATTAGACAAGACAGAAACCGGGTAAATTGGAGAGAATGTCCAAAGGAAGGCCTGGCCCCTTGGGTCAGGAGTTGGGGAATCCCTAATAGCTCCTCTCCAGAGCAGGGAGAGGGAACCCCTGACTTCCTTAGAAGGGATAGGGCTAGAGTGAAAGTCAGGAAGCTTGGGTTCAATCCTGGCTCTGAATGACCTTGAATAAGTCTCCTGCTCCCCACTTTATGCTGTATTTCCCTCATTTGTAAAATGAGGATGTTAGATTGACATTTACACAATGCTGTGAGGTTTGCAAAGAATTTTTTCCTGGAGTGATTTTGATTGATTTAGAGGGTCCCTGGTGAGGAACTTCCCTCTGCTAGTGCAGGTGAGCAGCTGATCTTCAATTTAGGACTTTTTTAAGAGGCTTGGGTGCTGAGAGATGGAAGTGGTTTGCCCAGGGTCACAGAGCCAGGAGGTATTAAAGGCAAGGTTTGAACCCAGGTCTTCCTGAGCTGAGACCAGTCCTTTCTCCACTCTCCCCACCCCCACTGCCTTCTGCATAGCATTTTTTAACAAATATCAACTCATTTCACCTCATAACAACACCATGAGGTAAGTACTATGAGCATGAAGACCTCCACTTTTTAGATGAGGAAACCAAGGCACAGGTAGTGAGTGTCTGAGAGGGCATCAGAATCCAAAGCCAGGACTCATGTTCTTTTCCCAAGGTCCCTAGTCCAAGGTTCGGGCTGTTCCCCAGCCGGCAGGACTCCAGGAAGCCGACATCTTGTTGCAGGGGAAGAAGGAAGTAGAGATATTTGGGGAAGGAGGTCAGGAGACTCCGCATCAGCCATCCTGGGAACAGAGAAGGTTGGACAGAGACATGGCCTCGAGTCTAGAATGCACTGTTAGCAAAACAGGTGGAGGATAGCACTGGCCTCCACTGTGGGATCCACAGTACAGACAGAACCCGGCAAGGTTTAGTGCCTGCTTGGGGTCCAGAATTAGTCCTGAGTCATTTCCCAGCTGGACCCCTAAAACCTGAGAACCTAGAATGTCAGAGCTGTGGGGGGGGGACCTTAGAATCTTGAATGTCAGAGCTGTAAGCGGGGACCTTAGGACCTAGAATGTCAGAGATGGGAAGGACCTTAGAACCTAGAATGTCAGAATTGGAGGGGGAGACCTTAGAATCTTGAATGTCAGAGCTGTGGTAGGGGACCTTAGAACCTAGAATGTCAGAGATGAGAGGGACCTTAGGAGCCAGAATATCAGAGATGGGGGAACCTTAGAACCTAGAATGTCAGCGTTGGGGGAGGGTTAAATCTCATCTAATCCAACTTCTTAATTTTACAAATGAGGAAACTGAGGCCCAAAGAGAAGGCAGGAATGGCATGATTACCCACTGAGCACAGATGAGTGCTACCTTTAGCCCTAAGCACCTTCCAAGGGGTGAGAAATGATGGGGGCTAGAGGAAGCCAAGGCCCAGATAGGCAAAGGGAAGGTGGTTCTTCTTGACCCCAGTCCCCCTACCTCATCCCCTGCCCAGAAGCTTCTTGGTGACCCTCATTTCTACTGGCATTTGATCTGAGCAGGAGCTATTGCTTGACAGGAATCCGTGCTTAGTGTGAAAGAAAAGCAGGGTGGGAAGGCGCAGAGAGGCCCCTGGAGTTGTGACAGGGAGCCTGGGGGTTAAAAGCTAAGAACAGTTGACTTGTGCCCATCCCTGAGCTTCCAGCACCTCCTAGGCACAACTCCCTTCCTGCTCTCATCTTCTTCCTCCTTCTCCCATGTTTTGACCTCTCTTCCTCCAGGTTTGGGGTCCCCTTGCTACTCTCCCTCCATCCCTTAGGAGAAATTCAGACCCACATTTAGAAGATTCCCAAACTAGGTGACATCTTATGGACCCTTAGCACAGAGCCTTGCATTAAACCTGTGTCCGTGGTGCTGACCACCACCCGGACTGTGCTCTACGCTCTGAGGCTGGAGGAGGGGGTGGGACACTTACCCACTAAGAGTAGCAAGTCCCAGAGGAAGCACAGCCCCTGTACCCAGCCAACCCTCCCCCCCCAACACACACACACCAGGGTTGGAAGGAGGTGGGGCCTCAGGACAAAGCTCTTGTCTCCTCAAATAGTCTATCAGATGGGAGTTCCATGAGAAGGAACCTTAAAGCATAAAACATTAGAGCTGGGAGCACCCTGGAACCTACAATGTCAGAGCTGGGAAGGACTTTAAGACAGAGAATGTCAAAGAATGGGTCTTGTGACACGGAATGTCAGGACTGGGAGGGGCTTAGAACCTAGAATATCAGGGTTGGAATGAGGCCTTGGAACAGGGAATGTCAGAGCTGGGAGGGGTCTTGTGACATGGAATGTCAGGACTGAGAAGGTCTTAGAACCTAGAATATCAAGGTTGGTAGGGGCCTTAGAACAGAGAATGTCAGAGTAGAGCAAGAAGATTCTAATACCTTCATTTTACAGATGAGGAAAATTGAGGCCTGCAGACACAGAGGTGAGTTGCGAGCTCATGGCAGACCTAGGACTAGTTCCCAGACCTCCTGACTTCCAGACCTTCCCTCCACCTGTCTGCAGATGCTTGTGGGCAAGGCTTTGCCTGAGGAGGCCCTAAACCCTGGTGTCCTCTTTTGCATGAGTATATGCCTTAAGCAGAGGCTCCTGCAGGGATGTTTACAAGCATATAGTGCTTCTGCTGCTGCTGCTCCAGCCTTTGAGTGTGAGTGTGTGAATGTGTGTGACTGTGTATTTGTGTATGTGTGTTTGAGTGACTGTGTGAGTATAGTTGTTTGAGGGTTTGTATGTGTGTGTTTGTGTGAGTGTGACAGTGCCCACGGCTGAGGGTGTGAATGTCGAGGTGTGTCTGCCCTTGCGCGTGCGCACGTGTGCCAGCTGTAGGCCTGCTGGTGGCTGCGTATGTGAGACGGGAGGAGTTGCTGGGGCTGCCGTGGGAGGGTGCCATGGTAGGAAAAGGAAACTTGCCGATTTTTACATTTGAGTCCAAGCTGTAAACACGCCTGCTGCAGCAGGAGGGACGGGGGAGTGGGCTGTCAGCAGCTCCCAGGGAGCCGGTGACCCCTAGGCAAGCTCACAGATGGCTCAGGCGAGGAGCTGGAGGGGAGAGCCTGGCCTGGAATTGACAAGCGGGGAAGGAGTCTCTGCATCGGCAGTCCGTCTGGGCTCTGGTCTGACACTCGAGGCCGTTCCCACCTGCCTCCCTCTCTTGCCAGCCCGCCCTTCTCGGGCCAGTGCCCACTGGGGCAAGGGTCAGGACATTTCCACTGGTCGCTCGTCTCTATCCTGAACTGGGGATAAAGTTCCCTCTGAAGACTGAAAGGCACCTTAAATACCTTTTAATTCAAATACCCACCCAATTTATAGAGGCGACTGAGGCTTAGAATAGGGAAGGGATTTTCTCAAAGAGAAATGAACTGTTGGCTGCCCTCTGGATTTTAGTGCTTGGGACTTTGGGCCTCAGTCTCTTCACTTGTAAAATGGAGATGTTGAACTCGTGACCTCTGAAGTTGCTCCAGCCCCCCCCCCATCCTGTGGTTGCTCGCTGTGGGTCTTGGTCACAAAGGCTGAGAGCTCCATGTTCTGCCGGCTCATCGGGCACGACCCCAGGCACATTCCATTCTCCCTCTGTTCTGCCTTGGAGAACCATTAGCTCCCGTCGCTTCTGTCATCACCAGCTCGGAGTACTCACCCCTAGACTCTTCCAAAGCGCCCAATGCCTTGTAGACATCCACACTGGGTGTCCCACATTCAAGTATCCTTCCCCTCTCCCCACTGTCCCCAGCGCCCTGAAAGTCACCACCCTCCTTCCAGGCCCTCCAGCCCCCGAACCTTGGCATCCCCCTCCACCTCCTGTCAGATCCATGGCCCAAGATTGACACACCTACGTTCCCATTTCTCTCATGGCTGCTGTCTGGGTCATGCTCTTCTCACCCCTTGCCTGGACCCTGGCGAGAGCCATCCAACACGCTTCCCTACCTCGTGTCTCTACCCACCTGCCTCCGCTCAGTTGCCAAAGAGGGTGCTGAACTGCTACTCTGTGAAATCCAGTGGGTTCTGACGACCTCCCAGAGCACATAGAAAACCTGTGGCATTTATGACTACCTTTCCAGTCTTGTACTTTACTCCCCTCCAGACACCATATTGGCCCATTTGCCAATATAGAGGCAGCTAGAAGGCAAAGAGGGTAGAGCACTAATCCTGGAGTTAGGAAGATGTGAGTTCAAATCCAACCTCAGACATTTACCTGCGAGGTGACCCTAGGCAAGTCACTTTAACCTCTGTCTACCTGAGTTTCCTCACCTATAAATAAATAATAGCATATTATGTATGCTATTATGATAGCATAATAGCATCTCCTTCTGAGGGTTGTTGTGAGGTCAAATGAGATAATATTGTTAAGTGCCTACCACACAGAAGGCACTTAATTATGATTCCCTTCCCCTAAAGGTTTGTCCCCTTTCTTTCCTCTTAAATGACACCACATTTCCCTACTGAACATCTCCTCCTTCACCTCTGGCTTCCTTCAAGATCCTGCTCAAACGCCTCCTTCTGCAACGGAGCCTCCTTGATCCTTCACTGCCAGTCCCTTCCTCTCTGAGATTGCCTTCTGTCTCCTGTGTCTCTAGCTTACGTAGACCTAGTTCTCTAGATTTCAGCATCCCCTTTAGAATGGAAGCTCTTTGAGGACAGGCACTCTTGCTTTTGTCCTTGTTTGTGCAGAGCTGAGCACAGGGCCCAGTGCACAGTAAGTGTTTGTTGTCTGACTGACTGACTGACTTTAGGGTTGAATGAATGAGTGAAAAAGCATTTATTCAAAGCACCTACTGTGCATCAGACTGTGTGCCTGGGAGTCCAAAGTCCAAAGTGACACCTTCTCGGATCTTACCACCTAAGAGAGACAACATAGAGAGGGGATGGTGGCCAAAGAAGGGCATCACAGGAATGGGGGACGGCAGGAAAGTAGAGACATGGCAGGTCCCCTAGACATGCCCCTTCTGGAAGCGACGCCTTGAGGAACTGATGATCTGGGAGATTCCTTCCATCTCTGCCAGCTCATGAATCTAGGAACCAGGCTGGCTGTTCTTTTATCTGCCCTATCCTCTAATCAAGGGGACGTAGAGCCGGAAGGTACTTTAGGGATCATATAGATCCCTTGTCTGACACAGAGGAAGAAACTGAGGCCCGGAGAGGAGGAAGTGAGTTGGCCAGGGTCATCCAGGTAGGAAGCAGTAAATGAAAGCTGAGTTAATTCTAAATGTAGGCTCCTGTCTCTGGTCCAAAGCAGTCATAGGGATCCTTGGGTCTAGAGACAACATGGCGACCTCCTCATTGTACAGACAAGGAAACCCAAGTGTGGGTTTGGGTCCCAGGCTTGACCCTAACTGGACCAACCTCTTCACTGCTCTGTTGGCTCTTCTGTAAAATGGAGACAATCACGTTTGAACCATTTAGGTCATGGGGATGTTATGGACAGAGCTGTTTATGTTATAGAGTAGTGGGTAGAAGACCTTCATATATAGTTTATATACATATAACTATATATAGTTTGGTGTGTGTAACTATATACATACATATATATATATGTGTGTGTGTGTGTGTGTGTGTGCGTGTGTGTATAGTTTATAGTTATGAGTTTAAATCCCACCCCAGCCTCTGTGTGACAGGGCCACAGAGCAATCTCTTCACTGATCTGGGCTTCAGTTTCCTTATCTCTAAAACAGAGCTAATAATAGCTACTACATCACTGCGTTGTTTCGAGGCTCAAATGAAATCACTTCTGTAAAGTTCTGTTTAAGTGTGACCTATTAAGACTATCATTATTATTAATTATTGTTGTTATTATTAGCAATAATAAGGCAAAGTATCCACTTAGATTGGTAGTGAGAGTTTTCTCACCTAGGAATTCTCTAGATGCCAATAAAATATCCTCCTGTTATTTCTGAAAACACATAAAAATGTCAGTGCAGAACTCAAGAAGGGCTGAGGGGCCAGACGAGGGCCGAGTGTGGGGGGGTGTTGCTGGGAGGAAGTTTGGGGAGGTTCTGGAGCTTGCTGCCCCCCCCAATCCACTCCTCCTTCTCCAACCCCCTTTCTCTGTCTCCTCAGAGTCCATCTGTGATCCCCATCTCCGGTGCCCGGCCCTAGCCATTCAGCTAAGATGGCAAACTTCACTCCAGTCAATGGCAGCTACGGCAACCAGTCTGATCAGTCTGTGCAGGCGATGCCCTCGGCTCCCAACCGATACGAGACGGTGGAGATGGTGTTCATTGCCACCGTGACTGGCTCCCTGAGCCTGGTGACCGTTGTGGGCAACATCCTTGTCATGCTCTCCATCAAGGTCAACCGGCAGCTGCAGACGGTCAACAATTACTTCCTGTTCAGCCTGGCTTGCGCCGACCTCATCATCGGGGCCTTCTCCATGAATCTCTACACTGTGTACATCATCAAGGGTTACTGGCCTCTGGGGGCCGTACTCTGCGACTTGTGGCTGGCGCTGGATTACGTGGTCAGCAACGCATCTGTGATGAACCTCCTCATCATCAGCTTCGACCGCTACTTCTGTGTGACCAAGCCGCTCACCTACCCAGCGCGGCGTACCACCAAGATGGCGGGCCTCATGATTGCCGCTGCCTGGGTGCTGTCCTTCGTACTCTGGGCTCCAGCCATCCTCTTCTGGCAGTTTGTGGTAGGGGAACGGACGGTGCCGGACAACCAATGCTTCATCCAGTTCCTGTCCAACCCGGCAGTCACCTTTGGCACAGCCATCGCGGCTTTCTACCTGCCTGTGGTCATCATGACCGTGCTCTACATCCACATCTCCCTGGCTAGTCGAAGCCGGGTCCACAAGCACCGTCCCGAGGGGCCCAAGGAGAAGAAGGCCAAGAACCTCTCATTCCTCAGGAGCCCCCTCATGAAGCAGAGTGGCAAGAACCCGAGCCAGAAGCCGCTGGAGCCCGGGAAGGAGGAGATCCGTAATGGAAGGCTCGAGGAGGCTCCTCCGCCAGTCCTGCTCCCGCCACGGCCAGCAGAGGAGAAAGACATGTCCAATGACTCCAGCTCGGCCAGCGTCACCCAGAACACCAGGGAGAGGCCCCTGACTGAGGGGTCCACAGCTGAGACTGGCTGCAGCCCGTCCACTCCGCTGCCCCCACGCCCACGAGCGCTCAATCCGGCCTCCAAGTGGTCCAAGATACAGATCGTAACAAAGCAGACGGGGAACGAGTGCGTGACGGCCATCGAGATCGTCCCTGCCACGCCTGCCAGCTTGCGCCCGGCCGCCAACGTGGCCCGCAAGTTTGCCAGCATTGCCCGCAATCAGGTGAGGAAGAAGCGGCAGATGGCGGCACGGGAGAGGAAGGTGACGCGGACCATCTTCGCCATCTTGCTGGCCTTCATTGTCACCTGGACGCCCTACAATGTCATGGTGCTGGTCAACACCTTCTGCCAGAGCTGTGTCCCTGACACTGTGTGGTCCATTGGCTACTGGCTCTGCTATGTCAACAGCACCATCAATCCTGCTTGCTACGCCCTCTGCAATGCCACCTTCAAGAAGACCTTCAAGCACTTGCTTCTGTGCCAGTACAGAAACATTGGTACTGCCAGGTAAGTGGGCATGGCTCCATGGATGGGGACTTCCTACCGCTCTGGGTTCTGAGCGGTTCCAGGGTGCCTCTCTATGGCCCACTACCTGTCCCACTCAAGAGGAGAGAAAAGACTCAGACAGGTGGCATCCTTTTCCCTATGGCCTAGAGGATGGCTCAGGAAAGGTACTGGAGTGTCCCCAGTGTGTTTGGAGTCACCAGAGTGGAAGGTCTGGGAGGCTTGGTCCTCACATTATCCTTGTTCCCTGGCCTCCAAGGGCAGGGAGTGGTGGATGGGCCCCCTAGCCCCAGAGGCTGCTGGTGGGACCAAAGTGGACTTTGGCTCCAGAGAGGTCGTGTGGATTCTTTTCAGGACTTCAAGGCCAGGACCCAGCAGACATGTGGCCAGAAGGAGCTGGATACCCTCGTATTGAGATCGGGGCGGGGGGGGGTTTGGGAGGACCTGGAAGAAAGCAAGGTCTGCCTCTAGGGAACCAATGTCTAACAATTCCCTGAAAACCTGAGGTGGTTGGACATGTATACCTGGTGACTGGAAAAAGGGGTGGGGTGTGGGGCGCAGTGCTGGCCAAGGTGCCAGGAATGCGGCTGCCGGAGGGGAAGATTGGGCTTGAACCCCAGCCAACAGGACTACTGGGTGGGGTGCGGCATAAGAAGGTGTAGGGTTGGCATGTGGATGCTTGGTTTCTTGTATGTAGGGGTAGGGAGGGGGAAATCAGGCCCTTTGGCTCTGAGGGTCCAACTGTATTGGGAGCAGCTCCCTAACCCCGGTGTGTATGTGGTACTGCTTAACCCACCTGCATGCAGGGTTCAGCCCGACCTCCAGTCTATTCCAGTAGGCAATAAATCTCCCCACTTCCCTCTTTGTAGCCTGGCCAGTGGGTCTCCCTTACTCCCCACCAAGGCTGTGTGACCTTTGTGGGTTATGTTGCGGATTCAGAACACTGAAAGTCCTTCCAGCTGTCAAACCCTGTAGGTCTAGAGGTTAGAGTGGCTGATCCCAAGAGCTCACCTCATCCCCCCATTTCCCCCTGGGCCGCAGTAGCTCCTTCCACCATATGGGGTTGGTGCAGCCGGACAGCTTCATGGTCTAAATTGAGCCAAAGGGAGGCTTCACCACTTCTCACCTTCTGTGTTCAGGATGCTGACTGGAGACTATTGGGCATCTGTTTGAAATGAGAGCAGGGCAGCCTTGGTGCCCTCAGCATCCCTGGAAAGAAGGAAATGTGGCCTCCTAGGTCTTCACCTACAGCCTCCCTCAGGGTCTCACCATCTTGCTCCTGAAATACACTCACATTTGAGTGGCACGTGGGAGGGATGGGAGACTAGGGTGTGTGTGTGTGTGTGTGAGAGAGAGAGAGAGAGAGAGAGAGAAACAGAGACAGAGACAGGGACAGAGACAGAGAGAGACACAGACAGAGGCAGGGACAGAGACAGAGGCAGAGGCAGAGACAGAGACAGACAGAGAGATGGACAGAGATAAGACAGAGGGAAGAGGGAGGGGAAAAGGAGATTCCAGGAAACGTTGGAGGAAGAGGAAAGAGGAAATAGGAGAATCAAGAGGAGAGAGGACAGAGAAGAAAGAGAAGGCAGGGAAAGGGAGGAGAGGACAAGATGAGGGAAGGAAGGGGAGAGAGGGGGGAAGAAGAGAGGCAGAAGGAAGAGGACACTCATAATTAGGGGAAGTAGACACACCTACAGGGTGGGAGGGAGAAAATCTGGCCGCATTGCCTTGGGCAGGATCCTTTTGAAGAGTCTGGATACCCAGAGCAGAGCAGAGAGACCTGGAGCTTGGATTCTGCTGAGAGGTCTGGCCCCACCCCACTGCCCAGTGGGGTGCCTGCTTGGTCGTCACTGGGGAGAAGAGGCCTCAAGAATTTGGGGGGTCATGGTGGGGCACACAGGGAGAAAGGTTTTGTACCTGGTTTTAATTTTTTAAGAGATGTTGCTTTCCCCATCAGCACCATGCATTCTGAGCTCAGCTTGGAAACAGCGGGGTGAGGGGTCAAACTCTGTCCTCCCTGTGTGGCCAGCCCTCCTGTCCTGGCTTTCTGGATCTCTACCCTCGCCCCTTCCTCTCCCTCCTAAATCCCAGAGAATCCTCTCCCCAAATCACAGCTAAACTATTGGAGAAGGGAGCTTTTATATATTAAAAACAAAAGGCTTTTATTGGAAAAAAAAGACTTTATTTTTATTTTTTAATAAAGGTGATGGCTTGAATAAGGGGGTAGGCTGAATTGGAGCTCACATCAGTGGGGTGAGAGGAAGCCAGGGCAGGGAGTGGAAGGCCTGGTCCCTCCCTCCCCTCTGAACCTCTCCACCCCTTCATGCCAGGGCTCCGGGCAGAGCTGGGAATGATGGAGGGAAAGTGGGGAGGAGGGCTTCGTGATTGATAAAGCTAATGATAAGAAACAAGGCACCTGGTGTGGAATAAGTTCTGGGGGGCTGGGAAGGGGAGGGGGAGGCAGAGGGAGGAAAGGGACAGGGCATCTGGGAGTCTCCCAGAGGCAAAGCCCCCCTTGTCAGGTGGTGCTTCAGGGTCTAATCCTTCCCCTTCCCTTTCTTGGCTGTGAAAGAGAAACCAGACTGGGGTTAGTGGTGAGAAATAATGGTGGGGGAGATCTGCCCCTCCTCCTCCAGCTCTGGCCCTGCATCCCCACCCCCGCTCATTCCCCACCTCGGCTACCCCTCTCTCCCCTCCCCAGCAGAATGGATCTGTGCAATAGCAGCTTTCTTGTGGGCCTGGAGGAAAGGGCTAATTCAGGCAGGGCATCCCAGGTAATGGGGTTCTGCCTCGGGGGACACCAGCTGGGTCTCCCCCTAGACCCCAACAGGAAAGTGGAGCCTTCTATCTTCCATCAGATATTGACCTCTGATCTTGGCTTTGGCCTTGAGGGTACAGGGCTTGGTCACTCGGATGGCCTCCTGGCACTGGGCATTGTAGAGGGCCTTCTTCAGGGTCCCCTGGCGGGTTTTGGTGCCAGTGCTGCTGTCACAGGCGCCCCAGCTCTCAAACTTGTATTTGCAGTCCGCTAGAGAAGAGTGGAGTCAGAGGGAGGGCCAGCGCTGGCCGGGCATCCTGCCTAGTTGGTCCTCTCCCTTCGGCCCCCAGTACCAACCTCCCCTGTTTGCCCCGCGGCCCCTCGCTCTGCGGCCCGGGTGTCTTGGGGGTGTGTGTGTGGTGCTTTCCTTACCTCCAAACTCCTTTTTCCAGTTGCAGGGGACCTTACACTTGAGGCGCCGGGTCTCGCCCCCACAGTTGCCCTCCCGGAAGCCAATGCCACAGTCTTTGCTGCTGGGCGTGCACGGGCCCCAGTTCCATTCCTCACACTCCGAATTGCCTTTCTTCCCCTTGTCTGTAACAAGGGCCCGAGGCAGGGTGGCCATTAGCTCCCCAGGGAGAGCTCATTTCCCGGGGACCCAGGGAAGGAGCCCACCCCTCCCCCACTTCCCTTAGCTTCCCATCACCTTTCTTGTTCTTTGCAGCCTCCGAGGGGAGGGCCAGGAGGGCCATGAGGGTGAGCACAAGGAAGTTTCGGAGCTGCATCCTGGGGTTGGGGGCGGGGGAGAGGTTCAGGGGTCAGAGCATGATGATACTTGGACCCTCCTCCCCACCATCACTGCATGCTCCGGCCTGATACCGAAACGGTGTGCGTAGGGAAGGGCATGCTCCCCCTTCCACTTGGGGGCTGGGCCGAGGCCCTGCTGACCCCTCCCCAACAATGGACCAAGAGCCCCAGGCTCTCCCCTCTTCTTCCAAGCTGGGGCCCCTCCCCTCTCAGCCGAGGCCCAGCGGGGGGTCCCTGGGCCTAGCCAGCCAAGGATGCGGGGCCCCCGGCTGCCGGGGCTCAGCTCCGGGGGAAGTGATGGGGCTGGAGCGGGGAGCCGCGGGGAGGCTCGGGGGGAGGGCCCTCCAGAACCCCGGGCCGCCCCGCCCTGGGGTGTCTTGTCCTCGGGCGGGGCAGCTGCCCCCCCTGCCTCGTGTCCCCGGCCAGCTCCCGCGTCCCCGAGGGGTGCCCTGGACCGTTCGCTGCCCGGGTCCCTCCCTGGATCCCTCGGTCGCTCACTCGGCCCCGGCCCCGGCGTTTGTCTCTGCTCCCCGATCGCTCGCTCGCTGCCTGCTCTGGGCTCCGCTCCCGCCGCGGCCGCAGCTGCCTCCCGTGCCCCGGCCCGTCCCACTGTCCCGCTCCGGCTCCTCCCGCCCCAGCCCCTTTTGTCTCCAGAACCGGTCTGAGCCGGTCACATGGGCCCCCGCCCCCTCCCCACTAAGGGGAGGGACTCCCATCCTCCCCGACCCTCCCCGAGGGGCCAGCCCCCGCCTCCGCCCCTCCAGGGGCCGGCCGGGCCCGAGGACGCCCCCAAACTTCTCTCCGGAGCGGGGGAAGCTGGGGGATCCCGGGCCAAGAGGCCGCTCTCTTTTCCGTACTCTGGGGGAAACTGAGGTTTCCTCTTCAGATGAGAAATGCTAGGCGGAACCCCAAGCAAGTACGTGTGCTCCTCTGTGGATGTCTGGAGCCCCAAGGGCCTGGGGCCTCAGTTTCCCCATTTGTGGCGTAAGCGGGTGGCACTGGATGGCACCTCGGGCCCTTTTCCAGCTCTACCTTTGTTCCTGTGAACGTCCGTGTGCACCGCCCCCCCCCCCCCCCCCCGCCCCAAGTCCGCGCGGTCTGGAGGTCCCAGGCTGCTGCCCTGTTCGGAGGCAGCGTTTAGCACCCTGGCTGTGTCCGGGCGGCGTGTCAGCTCGAGACTGTCCTATCCCACCTCCCTGGGGGAGTGCCCAGCGTCCACTCCCCTTCCAAGCCATCCCAGGAGCTCGTTTCTCCGGCCTCTCACCCTCGGTGACCCGGCGAAAACTCCAAACCCAGGGGCACCGAGGATGGGAAGCTCACCCCTGGCCTGGGCCCCAGCTCCTTCTTCCACCTGCACAGTGGAATCCCGCCCCCGCCCCGCCCCCAACAAGGCCAGAAGGCAGCCTGGGGGGCTAGGCACTTCCGTGGCCCCTCTTGCCTTTTTGGAGGGACACTTTGAGGTGCAGGCTGGTGCTGAGGACAAGCAGGCCCCAGAATTCTGATGACCAGTTTAAGGGACCCTAGAGATGGTTTAATCCAACTCCCTAATTTACAGACCAAAAGATGGAGGTTCAGAGAGGGGTGAGTGACTGAACCAAGGTCATTTGGTTATGGCAGAAGCAGAATTTGAATCCAGTTCTCTCAGGAGATGCTAAGCCTTAACACTCCAAGTTGCAGAATGAGGCCATCTGCCTCTTCTGAGGCTCAGTGGAGGAAGGGATCTGGGTCCTAAGGAGTGGGATGGGGCCCAGCCCTGTCCTGCCGAGATGAGGAAGGCCAGACACAACAGCCCCAAAGCCAGGGCTGCCTCCTTTCCACAGCATGGCCTCTCCAAGCACAAAGGCTGGACGCCCCCTGCCCCCCACCACACAGCCATCACCTGGAACAGTCCTGGTCTGGGCCCTCCCTTTGGCCTCCACCAACCCCAGAACAGAAAGCAAGTTAGGAAAAAACATCCATTTTACTGAGTTACACCCAGCTGGGCTGTAAACACGACACCATGACAAGCTTCCCTGGCCACCCCCCGCCCCCCATGTGCTGGATGAATCTCCCCACCTCGGGCAGGGACTGCCCTGTCTGCGATGAAATGGTTCTGCGTGCTAAAGGCAATGGAGGGGGTGGGGGGGCAGGCTCCACCAGGAAGGTGCTGAAGTGGGCAGGATGGCTTGGGATCCAGAGGGTAAGAGAACCGAGTGAGGCCAGCGGCATCGAACACCCCCCGTCTGCCTCAGGCTCCACAAAGTGGTGTTCCCCTGCCCTCCTGGGCTTTCTCTGGATGCCTTCTCACCTCATGGCTTCAGGCTGACCCTCCCTCGACTCCTGGGGCCCAGATTCACTTCCCTCCAAATCCCCCTCTCTCCTGCCCTAGGATCTCCCTCTCACTAAGGCAGCTGAGGAAGGTGTTCCGCCTCCTGGGGACAGTGGCCGGGATATGGGCAGAGTCCTGATCAGTCTTGGCGGCTGTGGCCAGGGTCACTGGCTCTCCTGGCTGGGCAATGCCCCTCCCTCAGGAAACTGCTCTCCCTCAACCTTCCTGGTCAGGGCCGGAGGCTTCAGCCTCCAGGATAGAGATGGGGCTCAAAAGCCAGGCAATAGAACATGCACAGGATGGGGGGAGGGGGGCCTGTAGCCCCAGGCTCTCCGAGTCCAGTCTCTGTGTGCCTCCCTCAAGTCTTACAGGCCCCAGGTGGGCCATGGGGCTCCTTCCCCAGGCGGGGTCCCCCCACGGTGCTGTCCACCTGGCCCAGTGGAATGTAGCAGTGTGAACAAGTGAGGCCGAGGGCTCGGGCCCTCCCCCCCATCCTGGTCCCGGAGCAGGGGCGGATCCGGGCCCTGCCGTCTTGCTTCCAGGGGTCACTGAGCTACACAGCCGTCTCCTGATCCTCCCTCTGGATCATCTGGTAGTGCTGGCGGTTTTCCAGATAGGCGGCCAGCTCAGTGTCCTGGGCTTTCTCAGCCCGCTGCCTCGGTGTGTCACCCTGCGGGCCAACAGCCAGTGAAAGGAGTTAATGCCTAGCACCAGAGCCCAGGCCAAGGTGGAACCCTGGCTCATTTCTGCCCGCCCCTCAGCTCCTTCCCAACAGCTCAGGTTTCACCAGCCACGTGGTCTCCCTAAGTCTGTTGGACTCTCCCTGGGCAGCTTTCCCTTCCCCAGCCACCCAGTCCTGGGCTGGAGGAAGCAGTGGCCTCCCTCTCCTGCCCACTGGGGAGTGGCAGCCCGGCCCCTATGCCCTCTCAGTCAGGCCTCCCCATCCTGGGCACCTGCAGGTCAGTCTTCATGAGCGAGGCTCCCGCCTCCACAATGTAGTGGCAGATGGTACGCTGGCGCAGGGCGGCTGCCTGATGGAGGGACGTCTCCCCGCTGCAAAGGGAGCAGCTGGGTGGGGTCCAGGACGAGGCAAGGGCCCTCCACCCACCCAGGGCCGTCTCCCCCTCCCAACCTCTCCCCTGACGAGGAGTGAGCTGCCTGGCAAAGGGCAGGGTCCCAGCAGCACGGGGATAAGGGTGCCCAAATACTCACTTCTCTTCTACGGCATCGATGATTTCTGTTGGAGCTAGAACACGAGGCGAAGGAGGAGAGGGAAGGTCAGAGACACACCTCTTGGGCAGAAAGTGGATGGAAAGGAAAGAGGGAACCCCACCCTGAGGGCTGGAGGAGTTCGAGCTTGATGGAAATTTGGAGGTCACCCAGTCCAACTCATTTTACAGAGAAGGAAACTGAGCCCCACAAAGGGCTTGCCCACCATCACAGAAGGAGCAAGGGGGGGCACTGGGATCTGACCCTAGGCCTCCTAACTCACTCCAGCGGCTTTTCCCTGCCCCCAGCCCCTAGCAGTTCGGTCTGGGACTTTCCTCCCCAGGCTCTCACCATGGTCCAGGAGATAGCGGACGATCTCCTTGCTCCCAGCTCTGACAGCATGGTGTAAAAGGGTTCGGCCCTGCTCGTCCCGAAGCATGAGATCTGCCCCTGCTCGGTGGAGCTCCTGGAACTGGCGGGACAGGCAGTAGGAGACTGGGGAGCCGGGCTGCCTGGCTCCTTCCTCCTAGGCCTTTCTCCCTCTACTTTTCCCTAAAGGGACCAGGGATCTGTCCCTGTGCTCCTCTCCTCCCTCCCCAGCCAGCTGTCCCGAAGAGTGTGTTCCCCTGTGGGTGCCCCGGGGTCCACCTGAGGGAGAGGGGACTCCTCCTGGTTCCATCCCGTGTGGCCACAGTTTGGAAGGGGAAGGAGAGCCCATTCTTGTGGGGGCAGGGGCCATACCTTACAAAAGTCATTTCTCTCAGCAGCTTCTATCAAGCCTTCCCCTACAGAACAAAGCCTGCAGGTTACAGGTGGGCCAGGGGCCTCGACACTGTCCATCTCCCACAGGATCCTTTACTCACACCCCGGCTCCTGCCCTCTCCCAAACTATTTGTGTTCAACTGCTCTGCACATCTTTGGATTTATTCACGCTCTCTTCAGGCTGCACAGGGCTGTGTGTGGACTCCTGACAAGCTCGCTGGGGGAGGGATGGATTTTATAGGGTCTAGGGGGAGGATGGGCTGCTACAGGAGAGAGGAGGGGGTCTGGCATCCATTTGCAGCCACCTGGCCTTTGGGAGACTTAGAAGGGGCCTGGGGAGAATGATGGTCTGGGGACTGGCTGATGAGAGGAGCTTCCCAGCCTCCCTCTGCCAGCTTCACTGGCGTGGGCCTCGGGCTCACTAGCTAGCTGGGTCCCCCTGCCTGCCACTCTGCACCTCCACGTCCAGAGCCCACAGAGAGAAGGCTCCTCACCTTTCGGGGGCACAGCATCCCCTTGGTCTGGCCTGGGAATAGAGGAGGGGAAGATATGACGAGGCTATTATCTGGGGCCGGGACCGCTCCCCCCTCCAAGGGCCGCCCTCTTCCCTGCATGCCCAGGGACTCTCTGGCCAAGGCGGGGGTGCACACCTGGGCCTGGGGGATGGTGGTGGTGGAGAGGTGGGGTCAGGGCTTTGGGGGGCCTCGAGGGCAAGCCTGGCAGGGGTGCCCATCAGCTCTGGGTCCAGCACATAGAGTTCATCCTGGGCAATCTCGGTCACGTAGTTGAGATGTTCCTGTAAGGAAGTCTCTGGTCAGGCCCCAGGCCTCTCCCACTGAAGACGCCCTGGCACCCACCCTGATGGGTCCTGGTGAAGGCAGAGATAATGGAGCATTCTGCCTGCACCCCTCTTGTAGACAAACATATATCTATATATATTTATTATTAAATAATACCTATATAAATTTTATGTGTGTGTATATATAATACATACATATACACACACCTCACTTAATAAATGCTTACTGACTGACTGAGCCCTCTTATTAATACCGTGTATTACTAGTTTCTCTGACTGATCCCCGTTACTGGGCCGCTAGGTGGCGCACTGAACACAAGTGCTGAGACTCATCTTTGTGAGTTCAAATTTGGCCACAGGCTCTTATTAGCTGTGTGACCCTGGGCAAGTCACTTCACCCTGTTTGCCTCATCTGTCAAATGAGCTGGAGAAGGAAATGGCAAACCACTGCAGGATCTTTGCTGAGAAAACTCCAAGTGGGGTCACAAAGAATTGGGCACAAAGGGACAGGACGGAACCACAGTCGTAATCCCCATAACAAACTGTGAGCTCCCTGAAGGCAGGGATTGTGTCTTACTCAGACTCTGTCTACCCCGCAGCCCACGCACAGCGCTCTATATTCAGTAGGTGCTTAATAAACATCTGGGGCGGGGAGGGGGGTGGCTTGATTCTTCTTCCTAGTGACTGCTGTTTCCACCAATCATCTCTCCAGATTCCAGCCCTGGTGGCCCATCGGCCACCCGAATCCAGGCCTTATCAGCTACTCCTCCCTGAATATCAGCTACTCCTCCCTGAACTGGAAACACAAAGATCCTCTGGCTGCCACTGCTGGTGAGGTGTAGGACAGCGGGGTCTGGACTCCAGGGCCCACACTTTGTTCTGGGCCTCAGTTTCCTTCCAGCTAAGGCTTGCCCTGTAACTGCCCTCGGCAGGTGAGGCCACCCCCTGGCCCCGGGCTCTCCCTCCTTCCAGTCTCTCTTCTCTCTGGGCAGACCTTCAGGGCTGCCATCATCCTCATCACCAGCCCCAGACTTATCCCATCCCCCTCCATTTCCTAGACCAGTTGGCCTACAAGCTGTTTCCTGACCCTGGCTTTCAGTTTCCTGACTCCAATCCTTTGCCCAGGCTGTCCTGGGCCTACAGGGCTGGAATTCACTCCCTCCCTCCTCCAGCCCAATCCCTTCAAAACTCAGCTTGGAGAATGGGGGTTTCTGTGGGAAGATGGCTTCCCTTATGTTCTCTGCCTTCCCCAAACCAACTCCCGACCATATTTCCTTCTCTCTACCTGCAAAAGCCAAACTCTTCAAGGGCAGGAGGGGCAGGTTCATGTTTGTCTGTGCACTCCTAGGGCCTGGCTGGGGGCCTCCAACACTTCAACATCAGAGGCGCCGACTAGACCCTAAGACCCACTGACCCCCACCTCACTGCCATCTGGCCCTTCCCCACCAGGTCCAGAGAAGCCTTCAAACAAGTCCCACTGATTTTCAAGTATCTCCATGTTTCAACCCCCCACCCCAAACGAGATCCCTTCCCATCCTTCAGCTAGTGCGCTTTCCCCAGGGCTCATCAAAATCCTATGCAATGTTTAAGGCTCAGCTCCCTCACAACCCAGGGACTCCCTCAGGGGACACACTGGCCTCTACAGCTTGCCACCTGTTACAGGGATGGCTGCTCTGTAGCCCTGACTAAAGGCCCGAGACTACAGAAGACCCTGCACAGCCCTGCAGAGGGGCGGGGAGAGGAAAAGACAGAGATAGAGACTATGTGGGCTGGGGCTGGGGGGCTTCTCAGACACCATGCTCTCGGGCATGATCTTGAGGCGGCCTGCGGGCCACCTCTGTACTTGCCTGGGCTCGATCTATCCTGTAGAATCTATTGGCTGTAGTAGCTGTGGGAGAGAAAGGGTGTGAGGAGCTCGGGTATCCACCTCACCCTTCCCACTTGAGCTCCCCTGCCCAGAAGGGGCACTGCCAGGACAAAGCCCCCCCACCCCACCCCTGGGCCACTCGTGGGCAGGAACTCACCATCCAGGAAACACCAATTGGGTGACAGTTTCTGGCCGGATGAAGCCGTGGCTCCTGCTCCGTTGGGTTCCTGCTCGGGAAGGGGGGAAGGTGAGGGGTGGGCGTGAAGGAAAGGCTGAGACAGGGAGAGCGGCGGAGGCAAACCAGAGAAAAGCCATGCCGTGCAGAGAGGCGCTGGCCCCCCGCCCGGCCCCCGTGCCCACGACTCCGTCACCCTCCTCACCCCCTGCTGCAGCCGCTCGATGTGGGTCCGGCAGAGCTCCAGGTCGCTGTCCCCTGGCACCACCACAGTACCCAGCGGCACGGCTGTGGAGACAGCAGCACACCTGTCAGCCTGGGGCTGGCGCTGGGGCTGGGACCCTGCCGCCCCTCACTCCCGGCCCAGGCTCACGCACAGGCCTCCCTGAGCTGCTCTTTGTCGTAGTGCAAGGCTTCGTAGTCATGCATGCTGACCCGGCGTAGCTGGATCCGCAGCTGCTCGGGGACGGGCTGCTGGCTGTGGCCAGAGGGGCCAGAGGGAGAGTGATCAGGGACGGGCAAGTGGTCAGGGAGCCTGGTCAGGGGCTGAGTGCGGCCAGAGGGGCCAGAGGGAGAGCAATCAGGGATGGGTAAGTGATCAGGGAGCCCTGGTCAGGGGCTGAGCGCGGCCAGAGGGAGAGCGATCAGGGACGGGACAGAGGAAGGGCAAGACAGGCGCCACCAGGCAGGGAGGTGGGGCCGGGGCCAGGCCATACTCGCTGTGCAGGGGCACGGAGCTCCTCCGCTTGGCCTTCTGCACCATGGTGGCCTGGTTGCGCAAGGCGATGTGAATGCAGGATGCAGCCAGCTTGCAGGGTTCCCCATCCACCTGCACCGGGATGGCCTTGGCCGTCGTGAGCACCACCTCCCGGCACTGGGTGAGGCGTTCGCCGTGCCCGCCCACCTGGAGAGCAGCCTGTGGGCACAGCAGAGCTCTGCCACCCCTGGCCTGTGCCCCTGTGTATCCTCTGATTAAGCTCCTCGGGCAGCCCTGGGGTCCATCTATGTGTGCTGCCCTGGGACACCAGAGGGGCACACAGGTGCATCCTCTGGACAGGCCATGCTGCCCGGCAGCCCAGGGCCCTTCTCACCAGTGACGTCATGGTGAAGCCGATGACCTCGAGGTAGCCGTCGTCGTGCCGCTGGGGCTCAAAGTCATGGTGGTCACCAGGGTGACCCCAGGGCATGGTGCCCGCACAATACCTATGGAGGACAGAGCGTGAGGGGCTGACTCTGGGCTTCAGAGGTCGAGGCCGAGGACCACCGCTGGTTTGTCTCACCTGGGGATGTTCAGGAAGACGATGCACTGGGGCTTCAGGTCCTGGATCTTGGGGGTCAGGTCTGTGCCGTCACACTGTAACAGCCTCAATGTGGGTGACGGGGCCGGCAGAGGGGCCGCTCTCCCTGCTCCTCAGGGGATCCCTCCCTGGCTCCCAGGGTCTGAGTGATGGGTCTCCTGGAGGACCGTGAGCAGGGTGCCCAGCTGAGGGGTCAAGGGGAGGCAGAAGGAGACTCACCACCACTCGGATGTGCTTGGCCAAGTCTTTGGAGCTGCCCATGAGGAAGTCAGAAAAGGCCGTCTGTCAATAGCAGAAAGAGGGCGTCATGCCTGCTTCTCGGAGGCCTCCGTCCCAGGGAAGCCTGGGGAGCTGGCGCAAGGGCCACGTGGCCAGGAGACCACGGGGTTAGTGCACTGGACTTGGGACTCTCAGCTCCACTACGTACTGGTGCTGTTCTCTCTCTCAGCCTCTATTTCTTCATCTACAAAATGGGGACAGGACTCTCACACTACCCACCTCACAGGGTTGTTGTCAACAACAGAGGTATAGAGAAGTGAGCTGTCTGCCTCATGGACACCGGGGCTGACATTTGGTGAGGGAAGCCTCTATTGGGCAAGACCGGGAAACAGTGTGGTCTAGGAACCGGGGGGGGGGGGTCAGCCTCTGGGGGGCCTGAAGCCCTGGGCTGGGGGTGCTGCAGCTGATGTGATGGGTGTTCACAAGATGGTGCCACAGGCCACCTGCACAGGAGGGATGGCGGGGGGGCACTCACGAGGTACTGCCAAGCCCCAGCTTACCCCAGCATAGAACATCTTGTTCCGAAACCGGCTATTGAATTTTTCTGGATTCGCCTCTGTACGAGCAGAGAAGAGAAAGATGAGGGTCACGGGGTCCACAATTCCCTCTCGGGAAGGGAGGCCCCAGAGTCCTCTCCTACCTGGACCCCCTGGAGCAGCTCCTGCCTCACTGCCTCTCACGTGGAATCTCCAGCCCGGTTCCCAAGTCTTTTCCCTATTTTTACCTCCACCACCCCTCAGTTCGTTCTCTCCAGACCCTCTCCCCACTTTCGGTTTCCCCCAGGGCTCGAAGATCATCCAGTCTCCTGCCTCCCAGCTCTGCCCTCTCAGGGCAACATGCTCCCCCTGCCCCTTTTCCTGACACTCCGTTCTCCTTATCAGGACAAGGCAATTTGAAAGCCACCAACCTCGAGATTCGTGAAATTCCAGGGTGACGTGAGCATCAAAGCCGAGGCTGAAGTAATTGTTAAAGACATCCAGGGGCAGCTACACAGAAGACAAAGGGAGAAGCGTACGTCAGGAAGACAGTGCCGTCAAAGAGACAAAAGCCATCGATAAAACACACCCACAGAGCACCAAGGAGCTGCTCCTGGGGAAGGCTGGGCAGCCAGCCTGGGCTGACCCTGTCAGTGGCCCCCTCGTCCCGGTCGTCAGGCCCCGCCTCCGGATTGGGCTCCGCTCGCAGGTCCCATCGGTCCAGCTGCACGACGTTGCCCTCCTCCACGTGGGACAGGATCTTGGACACTGGCTCATCCGTGTAGCCCTGAGGAGCCAGGGAGCGGCAGCATGAGATGGCTGCGAGGCTGTAGCCACAGTGACCCTCCTCTCAGTACAACCTTTCTGCCCCTGGGACCATCCTCCTTCTTTCCACTCATCCCCTGGCCCCCATTCTCACCCCACCCCAGTTGAGGGTCCGGGCCAGGTCATTGCCAGTGCCGAGGGGTAGGATGGCAACAGGTGGTGGGGGCTTCAGGCGCAGCTGGTCCAGGGTGGAGAGGATCCAGCCAACCTGAGGGGGAAGGAGGGGAGAGCAGGCCTCAGGCCCAGGCCCAGCCTCCCCCATGCCTGCAGCCCCAGCCCAGTGGCTGTTGGGAGGCTCACGGAGGTGTGCGCGTGAACTCACCGTGCCATCGCCCCCGCACGCCAGGATACGAAGGTTGTGCACTTTCCGGTACATCTCCAGCCTGTGGGTTAAAGGCAGGGCAGAGGAACTGAACAAAGCAGAAGATGGTGGCCCCAGACCTGCACAGACCACCAGCTCTCCACTGACCCCGCCTGGGTCCTACCCCACAGACACCCAGGTACTCACGCCTCCTTGGGCCCACCCTGGCTCAGGTCAAAGACTTGCCGTGGGTTGAGATACCAGAGAAAGGACTGGATGATCTTAGAACCCTGGGGGAAACAGAGCGGGAGGAGAGGGTCTGGAGAGAAAGAACTGGGGGATGGTGGAGGTAAAAATAGGGGAAAGACTTGGGAACTGGGCTGGAGAGTCCACGTGAGAGGCAATGAGGCAGGAGGCAGGACTGTGCAGGACTCGGAAGGGAATTGGCCCCCTGGGCCATCTTCTCTTTCACCACCAAAAAGCAGCAGTGTTCGGGCCCACAGGGGAAGGAGGGCAGAAGCTCCCGGCCTGAGCCTTACCTGATTGCCCCCACTCTTGGGGTTCACGAACACCAGCAGGGGCTTCATGAGCGGGGATGGGGTAGGTTTGATGATGAAAGGTTTCCAACGGCCCTCCTGCAAGACAGTGAAGGTGCAGAGAGCCCTCCAGGCCTCTGTCCCTCCTTCCCAGCAGCCCCCACACCACAGCAGCCAGAAGCAGCAACCTGCAGCCCTCAGCCCCTCCACAAGCCCGTCTGCGTATCTGCACAACAGACAGCCTGGAAAGCAGGCAGAGCGGGCCAGAGCCCATTTCACAGATGACGCCTGGAGGAGCAACTTGCCCAAGGCCACACCACTGGTGAGTACAGAAGGTGGGCACATGCCCGGCTCTACCTCAGGCCCCTTCTTGCTCGACTTCCTCTTGAAAGATGTCCTCTTCTTCTTTTTGCTGACCTTGAGTGGGTTCTGCAAGAGGGAGGGAGCAAAGCCGTCAGCATCACACCCAGCAACTGAAGGCCCTGCCCACGGCTTGGGAAGGGGCGGGCTTCACCTGGGGGCGCCGGGCCCGGAGGATCCAGGTTGGGGGGATGACCACCGCGGCGTGGGCCCCCAGGGAGCAGGGCTCCTCAATCTGCTGGATCATGAAACAGGACACCTTGTTGTGGTACTGCAGAGGGAGGAGAGAGAGGGCACTGACTCCGAGGGGCAGGCCTCCTGCGAGCCAGGGCAGGAAGCAGACGAGATGAGGTACTCACTGCCTGCTTACACCACGAGCAGCTGATGGCCACAATCTCTTTGCTGTGGAAAGTAAACTTCTGCTGGAAGCCCTGGGGGGAAGCAGGGGAGAGGTCAGTGGGGGGGCTGAGCCCAGGAGGCAGCCTATGTCCATTCTCTCTGGACACCTCCTCCTCAGAGGTCACTAGAGTCACAGGATGTCAGACCTGAGATGATTTCTGTTTTCAGGAATCACATCCCGCATAGAAAGAAACTGAGGCCCCCAAAGAGGAAGTGTGGGGAAGCAATTCTACAGCACCTACTACGTGCAGGCACTATCCTAAAAGTTTGACAAACAGTATCTCACTTCATCCTCACAACATTCCTGGGAGGTGGCTGCTGTCATCACCTTCATTTTATAGAGAAGGAAACTGAGGCAGAGGATAAGTGCCTTGCTCAGGGTCACTCAGCTACCAGGTATCTGAGGGAGGATTTGAACTCAGGTCTTCCTGCCCACAAGCCCCACTAAGCCTGTGCGTAGGCACTAAGAGGCAGGACAGCAAGCTCTGTCCTCTGCTTCCAGTCGCCACCTTGCCCCAGTGGAAGGACGCCAGCACTGCTTCTTAATTCCCACCCCGGTGACCCAAAGCCAAATTGGCCAGACCTACTGTGTGCCTGCGACTCAGCAAGGTGTCCCTCTCTCCCCGGGGAGCCCTTTCTGGGCATAGACTACGAGCCTGCTTCTGCCAGCAGGGGCGAACCCAGGGTGCTCCACTCACCTTGCCACAATGCCGGCATTTGCCATCCTGGCGCCGCCGATGCACCCAGTGGTGACGAACAAAAGTTGGCTGGAGAGGGTAGGGGAGGAAGACGAGGTCACAGCTCTGAGCAGGGATGGGAGACTGCCCTGGCCTCAACCCAAGGAGCACAGGTGGGCTCATCTCATAGCCTGGGCTGCCAGTCCAGGAGAGGAGGGGGCTGGGGGGATGGTGCAGGGAGATCTGCAGCCCCAGCAAGTCAGAAATCACCGGGAGGCGCTGTGCCCTAAGCTACATAAGCAGGAAATCCAGGCTTTCACGCCAGGCCTCTGATGCCCAATTCTGTGTGTCTTCAGCTGTGCCCAGGGAGCTGAGGTTCTGAGACAGGCCATGTGCCCTGGGGTGTAGCCCTCCTCACTCTGCTCAAAGTGCAACCTGGGCAATCCAGCTGGTGGCGCTTTGGGGGAGTGTTAAGGTTTCGCCAGGAAGGGTCTCAGGGCCCTGAAATGGGCATCTCAGCTCACGCTCTAGGCTCAGGAATCCTGAGCCTTTTTCCCAGGCTGGTGGGAGCTGGGGAGCCCCTGGGATGCCCACCGCCGTCCCCATCCCACCCAAGGTCCTTACCTCCCGCACATTCCTGGACCCTGATTCCCGGAAGGATGGTTTACAGCGGAAGTTAATCTGCAAAGGACCACATGACATGAAAACATGAGGATGATGGCCAGGCTGGTCCTGGGAGCCTCCAGGGGAGGCGAGCACAGGAGGCCACAGGTCTCCCAGGAGGGAAGGATGGCTGTCCAACGTCCAATTCTCCTGACTCTGTCATCCAGGAAGGAACCTCGTTCTTGTGTTATTTGTAGTGAAGCTTCTTGGGGTACTGAGTTTGAGGGATAACCAGGGCTCCCAACTGCACAGGCTACGGGGTTCATGAAGCTGATCCGGGGGCCAGAAGGGGCCCTCTTGTTCTCAGCTCGGCTCTGGCCTGCCCAGGGCCCTCCTGGCATGCACACACTGGTATATGCGTACACACACGCGCACACACACCCCCCTCTCAGAGAGGAGGCAGCAGTGGCTGGGGATCCCTGGGCCCAAACCTCAGTCCCATCCAAGGAGGCCCATGGTCACCTTCTCCAGCTGCCCAATGCAAGGCGTGTGCACGACAATCTTGCAGGCGGCACACTTTCGTCGAGACACTGATTTCTGCTGCAGGAAGGAAGGGCACTGAGGTCAGTGGGACAGAAGGGAACCAATCACATTTCTAAGCACTTTTTGGCTTGCAAAGCTGTTTCCTCATAACTGACACTGAGGCTCAGGGGTGTGGGGTGGCCTGCCTAGGGCCCCACAGCTTATGTGGAGGGGGGTCTGAACTGAGGGCTCCAGACTGGACTCCGGGACCAGGCAGTGTGGCACAGCGAGCAGGGCCCAAGTTCCGCTCTTCCCTCTGACTCTTGCTATGTGACCACAGGCGGGCCCCTCCCCTCTGTTTCCTCTTCTGCCACTGTGTCTCCTGAAATTCCGGTGCCGTCTGCCATCCTCACCTCTTTCGCTCCTGTCTCATGACGAGGAGACCTTCTCCTCACCAGGCTAACTCTGAGACCAGCACAAGAGATCCCATCCCATCCCACCTCCTCCAACAGACTAGCCCCATCTCTCTCCGGGCTGTTGCCCTCCTGCCCACAGACAGGCCGGGTCTCCTCATCCTCCCCAAACCCTCCCTTGATCCTTCTGTCCCAGCCAGCTACTCTCTCAGACTTCTTCTGCCTCTTGTAGCTAAATCCTCAAACAGATCATCTATGACACGTCCCCGTCCCCCCCTTTATCACTGGTTAGTCCTTTTTCAGTTGTCTCCGACTCTTGGTAACCCCGTTTGGGGTTTTCTTGGCAGAGACACTGGAGCGGTTTGCTGTTTCCTTCTCCAGCTCACTTTACAGATGAGGAAACTGAGGCAAGCAGGGTTAGGTGATTTGCCCAGGGTCACACAGCTAGTACTTAAATTGTCTTCCACCAATCTGAACTCAGGAAGGTGAGTCTTCCTAACTCCAGGCCCAGCCCTCAGTGCACCATGCTGCCCCCTAGCGGCTCTCCTCGTACTCTCTTCTCAACCAATTACCAGCGGTTCCTGACCTTATCATTCCACCAAAGCTGCTCTCTCCAGTTACCAATGACCTCAGAAGCCAAAGTCAATAGCCTTCTCTCAATCCCTATTCTCCTTCCCCTCTCTTCGGCCTCTGACACTGCCTCTCTTTCTCTCCTGGTTATCCTCCTCCCTCTCTGATGGCTCCTTTTCTTTTCATTTATTTTTTAAATAATTATTTTGGGTTTTCACTTCCATCAGATTTTGAGTTTTAAATTTTCTCCCCCTCTCTCCTCTCCATCCTCCCCAAGGCGGCAAGCAGTCAGATAGAGGCTCTACATATACATTCACATTAAGCATATTTTCACATTAGTCATGTTGTAAAGAAGAATTAGAACGGGAGGAACCATGAGAAAGAGAAAACCGAACAAAACAACAAAAGAAAAAAGACAGAAGAGCGTACGCTCCGATCTGCGTTCTGACTCCATGGCTCTTTCTCTGGACGTGGAGAGCATTTTCTATCATGAGCCTTCTGGAGATGTCTTAGATCCTCGCACTGCTGAGAAGGGTTAAGCCCAGTAAGTCAGTGCTCGCCCAATGTGGCTGCTACTGTGTGCACCGCTCTCCCGGTCCTGCTCCCTTCCCTCAGCATCAGTCCACACAAGTCTTTCCAGGTTTTTCTGAAGTCCTCCCGCTCCTACTCTGTTTCCTTTGCTGGAGCCTCCTCCACACGAGGCCCTCTTCTCTTCTTCTTCTAGTCTGCTTCACTTGCTGATCTCATCAGCTCCCATGGGTTGAGTTCCAGCTCTACAGGACGATTCACAGATCCCCCTCTCCTGCCCCAGCCTCTCTGCTGGCCTCCAATCTCGCACCTCCAACTACCTTTCAGACATCTCGGAGGGCACACCCAGCACACATCTGAAACCCAACCTGTCTAAACCTAAACTCATTATCTTTCCCCCTAAACGCTGCCCCCATCTTTCTTATAACTCCCAGTCCCCCAGAGTCACCCTGGACTCCTCCCAAGGCCTGTGGATCTCACCTCTGCAGCATCTCTCCTCTGACACTTTCCCCACCCTGGTGCAGACTCTCATCCCTTCAGACCTGGACTACCCCACTAGCTGCTGGTGGGGTCTGCCTGCATCATCTCCCCCACTCCAGACCCTCCTCCATTCAGTTCCTAAAGTGAAGTGAGCAATCACATCCTCCCGCCCTCCTACTCAAGAGACTCCACCGTGGCTCCCTACAGCCTCCAGGATCGAACACAAGATGCTCTGTTTGGCATTCAAAGCCCTTTACCACCTCACCCCCTCCTACCTTCCAGTCTTTTCACAGTGACCTGGCTTCTCAGCTGTTCCATCTCTTCCCTCCAGGCCTTTGCTCTGGCTGTGCCCCCTGCCTGGAATGCTCTCCCTCCTCATCCCTGCCTTCTGGCTTCTCAGGCTCCCTTTAAGCCTGAACTAAACTCCTACCACCTACAGGCAAGCCTTTCCTAACCCCTGGACTCCAGTGCTCTGTCTGTTTTAATCATTTCTGATTTATCCCATATACGTATTTGTGATTTACCTCACCCGTTTGTCTCCTTTTCTATCTCCAGTGCTCAGCATGGTGCCTGGCACACAGCAGCAGCTTCATAAATACTGACTGATGTAAACAGAAGTCAAATGACCTGCCCAAGGTCACACAGTTACAAAGTCTCTGAAGTGGAATCTGAACTCGGGTCTTCCTGACTCTAAGCCCAGTGCTGGATCACTGCCCCACCCAGCTGACTGCCTCAAAGATACTTCAATGTTCCAGGCCTCCAGCCCTGTGCTCTAGAAGGGGGAGGACGGGAAGACGCAGAACAGGCACTTGTATAGCGCCTACTAGGCGCCACGCACCACACTGTGCACTTTTTACCAATATTACCTCATCTTATTCTCACAAAAGCCCCTGAGGAGGGGGCAGCTAGGGGGCGCAGTGGATAGAACTCCGGCCTTGGAGTCAAGAGGACCTGAGTTCAAAGCTGACACTTGACACTTACTAGCTGTGAGACCCCGGGCAAGTCACTCAACCCCAACTGGCTCACCAAAAAGCCCCTGGGAGGCAGGTGCTACTATCACCTCATCGTGTAGCTGAGGAAACTGATGCTGAGTAAAGCTAAGCACCCTGCCTAGGGTCCGAGGCTGGATTTGAACCCAGCTCAGCCCAGTGGTGGCCCCTGCTGGCCCCTCTCTGGCCAGCAGCCACTGCCTTTTCTGGTCCCCCAGCGCTCCACTCACCAGCATCCTGGCCAGACAGTACTGCTCCCCCACGTAGCAGAAATCCCCAGACACGTTGGTCTCAAACCACAGGTGTTCCCCGTAGGTGGCTGTTTCCTGTGGGATGGGGCAGGCCTGTAAGCGCTCCTCCCCCCGGACACGCTGTGGCCCGGGCCTCCCCTGCCCTCCTTGGACCCTGCACTCACAGAATTCTAGAGCTTTCAGAGCCCTAAAAAAGGAGCAGCTTCAATATCCTCATTTTCCAGATGAGGAAAAAGCCTCACAGAGGAAAAAATGACCAGCCTCAACTCACCTCCTCCCCGCAGCTTCCCAGAGGGAGGCTGGGCTATCGGTCTCCTCACATACGGTGGGTAGTGGATAAATGCTGGGCCCTTGACCTCGCTGACCTTAGGCAGCCGGGCCTCCCAAGTCCCCCTCCGGTCCTCATCTCCCCACCTCAGCCAAGCCACCCATACTCACACTCCAGTCCACGGTGCTTCGGATCTGCCTCTCAGGTTCGCTGCCGGGGGCTCCAGGGGTGGGGTTTGGAGGGGCCAGATGTTGGAGACCTGACTTGGCAATGGCTTTCCTGAAAAGAAGAGGACAACTAAGAACTCAAGGAAAGAGCGCACATCCTTTTCTTCCTTCCTCCCTGGCCCCATCTCCTTCTAGCTAGACCCAGGCTGGGAGGAGGGGCAGAGACAAGGCCTGGCTCACGGGCCCAGTGCTCAGAATACAGCCCCAGGCCCACGCCCCTGGCTGCTCTGCCTGTCCTGACCGCAGCTATACCTACGAGAGCAGAGAGCTCCAGGCCTCTGGTCCAGCGGACTTGCGCTTCAGAGCCACTTGCCGCCTACGGGACAGGGGGCGCAGGTGGCGCAGCAGGAGTGGATTGGCAGAGGGGCCGGGGACGAGGTGCTGCCCCGGGGGCCGGTACTGGCTGAGACGTCGGTAGTAGCCATGTAGGCCCCAGACGGTACAGTCATACATCACATCGGTGGGGAGCAGGTGGGAAGATTTCCGGCGTCGACGGAGACACCGGGGCACGTGGAGTCGGGGCCTGATGCCCAGATGCTGAGACCTGGGGGTGGCCAGCTCCTCGCCACCTGCCTGAGGGGTCCTTAGCCCCAGCACCTCTGTCTCTTCCTCCTCTGCTTCACTCTTCCCCATGAGACCAGTGAGGAGTAGAGGGGTCCCCAGGAGGCGAGCGTCAATAGCAGTGGGTGCCAATCTCTGCGGTGGGCCTCGTTCCACAGTCAAATGGGGACTGTGGCTTGGGGGTGTGGTGCTGGAGTGGCGACGGGAAGCCCTCACCCCGCAGCTAAGGAGGCAGCCCTGAAGCTGTGAACTGGAGCGTCGCTGCCGGACCAGCGAGGGGGAAGGCTGGCCGGCTGGGGATCGCCGTCGGACCTTGCCCGTGGGGAGGGCTACCCCGCTCCCCCGTCGCTGCCCGCTGAGGCCTGCCCCCGGCCCCTTCCTCCTGAAGTGTCTCCTAAAGAAGGTCTCCATGGTGAGAGTGGCGGCCGTCAGAGGCTCGCGGGGCCCAGTGGCGGGGGCCTGCTTCACTGCACCTGAAGGTCCCACACTGGACACTAAGCAAAGGCAAGCGCGAGGTACCCTGACAACCCACTGCCGGGGAGCCCTTCCACGGGCCTCTGGGCTTGTGAGGGAGGGGCTGGGGAACGGGGGCACTGACGCAGTTCAGCGGCAGCCACGGGGGACCCGAGTGCGAGCCGCTACCAGCCCCAAGTCAGGAGGCTCGTCAATGACCCTGAGAAAGCTCCAGATGGAGCCGTCAGGGCCCTCTCACTGTGCGCCCCCAGCTTCTTCAGCCTCTGACTAAGCAGGGCATGGAAGGCAAGAGGCCTGCAGGGGATGTGAGAGCACCGACCTATCTGCAATAGAGAAGGGTCCAGGAGTCAGACTGGGTACAGAGCCTAGACCAGTGTAAGTAACAAACCTCCTTCCCCGGGTTCTTAACTGTGGGGTCTTGGGCCACTCATCTGAGCTCTCAGGGGATCAGTTTCCTGTTCTGTAAAATGAGGGAGGCAGATGAGAGATTCTCTAGTGACTGTTTCAGGTCCGGCAATCTCTAACAATCACATGAGGTTTTCCAAACCCCTCAATTCTGTTTCTTCCCAGGCCACTGAGCAGCAGGAAGAGAATCCAACAGAACTTGGGCCTTGGCAATGGCCGACTTCTACAGTTTTCCAAAGCAGCAGCCTCAGGTGGCCCAGGCCTGGGAGGCCACGGGCTTGACACCCCCTCCAGGTGCCAGGCAGAAGTAAGGGCGAGTGTCAGGCATGGATGAAGGTGAAGGTAGAGAAGGAGGTACCAGTGGGAAAGGGCACCAGGGCAAAGCCTAGGCAAGGAGAGGGGGCACTGTGGCAAAGCTGAGCCTAGGATGGGCAAGCTATTTGGGCCAGGGCAGGGAGAAGCTGCTACTTCTCCCTTTTCATGCTGGCACTGTGCACAATGCAGGGCATGGGGGGGTCAGCAGATAATGCCTTGGGTCTTAGACTCCTCACCCCCTCTGTAAAGGAGACATTGGGATAGGCCTGGGTCCGTGTCTTCAATCTCACAGGTGTGGCCAGTAGGGGGTGATTCTGCCAGCCTTGGGCCTCACCTGGCACTAACATCTATCCATTCTCACTGGCATGGGGGGGCAGGGTGAGAGGGAGATTTCTGGAAATCGAAGTTGCCTGACCAGGTAATATTTTTGGGGGTGTGTGTGGGGGAAACATAAGCTCCATCTGCTCCTCCTTAAGGTCAATTCTTGGGAATAACTTGAGGGAAGCAGTAAATGTGAATGAGACTATTTTTAAGTAGCTTTGAGCTCCCAGGAATAAAGGAGCCAGGGAAGTATCGGCCCCTATTATTAATGTGGCCATTCTTTATTAACAATGTCTTCCAGCCTCCACAAGGGAAATAAAAGAGCTCTCTGGGAATCAACCCAACTGGGACAAGTTCCCCACATAAGGTAGACAGCCAGCTCTGGTAAGGGGGGGAGGGGATGAAAACTCCCTTCGCCAGGCCTTTGCCCCCAGCTTCTGCCCAGGTACTTTTAGTCCAGCTTTTGCCACCTATCAGACTGGCAGCCCCATGCTGCTATCCTCAGGCTCTCCTATGGGGTGTCAGCTTTCTCCTGTCCTGTGACAGCTGCCCAGACTGGAGGAGATTAGTCACCCTGACAGACCTCCTGATGCTAGTGTCACCAGAAAACAAAGGCCACAGTCTGTGTGTGTGTGTGGTGGGGGGGGGGAGGCGCAGACAGGCCCTCGAGCACTTTCTAAACCCTCCACAGTCAGCTCTTTGGTCTTTGTCTCCCCAGCCCTGAACACTGCGCCTGACACGTAGTAGGCACTTCATAAATGCTTGCTGATGGACTGAAGGGAGGGCCCGGCCGGAAGGCCAACAACTGGGCACTGAGACGCCCCCCCTTCCCCACTCCGCACGCCACTGGCAACGCCTTTGTTGTCAACCATCCTGTGGATGCACAGGGCTCACAGCCACAGCAGGGCTAACTGCTCCTCAGCAGTACTCATCCCACAGTGATGGGGCCTGGGACAGCGAGGCCTGAGAGACTAACACCCTTTCCTTAGGAGGGAGCAGGGTAGTGAGAGGCCTGTCGCCACAGGTACAGAGCACTTGGGCTTCCCTCTGGTCACCACAGTTTGGTCTCTGGCCTTTTCAGCAAACTGCTCTCCAGGGGCCTCTGACTAGTCTAGCCCAGGCCCTCACCTTCTACTGGGATGGTGGGCAGAGCTCAGCAGAGGTCCAACCAGGCCTCAGTCCCTGTGGCCTTTCTATCTTTATGGCTGCTGTGCTGGATGTATAAAGGGCACTAGACTCCAAGGCTGTGGTGACCCAGACTGGGTGGGGGCCCCACAGCCTGAAAGCCCAGGGGAGAACAAGTGGGTTAAAGTCAAAGAGCCTCAGAGGCTCAAGGCTGTGGTGAGGAGACACGTCTGCTTGATTCTCTGTAGACCTAAGAGGGGCGTACCTGGGACAGTGCAGAGACTGAGCCAGATGGAAGATGGGAGCCTAGCTAACCCTCACCCCATGGGTCCCAAAGGCCTAGGCCCACCTAGGGACAGACTCCCACAGTTTCTTATGGCAAGGGAAGGTGCAGTGAGGATCTGTACAAAGCCACACCCTCAGCTTCCCCACCTCCAACCCCAGGACCTGGAAGAAGGATGGCAGAGCTGGCCAGAGGTCCCAGCCAGGGATGAAGGGGGCTGGGGAGTGGCACTCCTGGTCCTCTCTCGGACTGGCTCACTGGACAAATAACAGTTCAGAGGGGAGAGCTGCTAGAAGGCTGGAAAAAACCTCATTAAGGTCTCTCATTCCAGAAACAGGTGAATTTCCAGTCTGACACGCATTTTAGTCTCTGGCCAATACTGAATGGACCTCTCAATTACAATTCTGAGCTGGGAAGAGGCTTAAAGGGCTCATTCGGCTTCTACAGAAGCCAGTGTCTGGAAGCTGTCATCCTAGCAATGCCGAAAGGGCTCTCTGCTATCTTCTGGGTTTTCCCACTAAAACCAGGGTGGGAGGGGAGAGGGAAGAGAGAAAGGGAAGCATGAATGTGATGGGTAGCCACAGCCCACTACATGAGGAAGAAGGCCTGGCAGCCTGGGCCACCTGGGTATTTGCTCATGCCACAAAGTGCCAGCCTCCGCAGCCTGCTACACATGCACCGCCCCTAGCTGACTCCCGTCAAAGCATTTGAGTGTCCCCATCTGGCTACAGTGTTTCCCGTGCTCGGTGCACTCTCTAAAGCTCTGGGCAACAAAGAGGACAAAGACCTTCAGTCTGCCACTTAAGGGGGCTGTGGATCATTTAGTCCAGGACCTCCCTCTCCAGCATTCTGAGAAGCAGCTGCTGCTTGAGATGAGGCCCATTCAGTGTTCAGATTAATCTCGAGGATGGACAGACCAGGAGAAGACCAACAGACATTTCCCTTCCTCCTTAAGCAACCAGCCTTGCTCCAGAAGCCCCGATCCCCATGGAGGAGGCAAATTATATCCCCCAGGGGATGCCGGCTCTGTGCCAACGTCCAGCTGTTCCGCTCCCACAAGCCTCGGGTGGAAGGCTGGGAAAGTCCAAGAAAGGGGAGAGCAAAGGCATTAGAGGCCTCAGACATGAGAAAACTGAGGCCCCAAAAGGTAAAGGGATTTGTCTACGGTCGGAGAAGGACTCAGGAGCAGAGCTGGGATTTGGGCCCAGCTCCTCCGATTCCAAGTCTGCTCAGTCTTGCATGATGCCAGGTAGAGGCTATCAAGTCCCGGGCTAGGGAAGGGAGGTGGCCAGGGCACAGCCAAAAGGGAGGGCATTTATCTCCCGGGGAACAGCAGGAAGGAGGCCTCTCTTGTCAGCCCCCAGAATTGGTGTAGTCATGGGGTGGAAAGGAAGCAAGGAGCACCACTCCTAGCCCCAGACTGCTTTCACTAGGAAATCTCTTGCCGGGGAGCCAACCAGGGGGCACTAGGGAGCTGGCAGAGCAGCAGGATGGGTGGCAATGCTCTGGGCAGAGGGGAAGGGAGTTGTCTGGCTGGGTTAATATTTACCTCGGCCAGGGGATGGCTCTTTCAGACTCCCTGCCCAGGATCACAAGGGCACACGATGCCCTCCTTTTTCAACAGCTGCAGCTAGGCTGAGTCTCCCAGACCCTCCCTGGCACATTGTGCCCAGTGCCCCCCCCAAAACCCCAGGCTAGGAAGCCCCACACAGATAATACAGGGAGCAGGGAGGGAAGGAGAGGGAAGGGGCTGAGTCCCCTTTTGACCTGATCTGGAGGCAGGGAGGCAGTAAGCAGGAACTTCGGGTCCTCCGGGAAAGCCCTGGAGCTCCAGGCAGCAGCCCTCTCTCTGGCAAGTCCTAGTTTGGAGGCAGCAGCCCTACTCTCCGCCCCCTAGTCACCCCTTCCTCCTCCCCTTCCCCCTCTCCCTGCAGCCTAAGACAGCCGTTATGAAAATAACCCCATTGGTAACCAGCTGCACTTCCTCCTGATAGGGCTGGCTCCCAGCCCCCACGCGCACACACCAGACTCTCCTCCCTGCGCACTCACCCAGAGGGGCAGAGCAGCGGGCAGGCAGGCAGGCAGGAGGTTTCAGAAAAGAGATGTAGGCTTAACTCCGAAGCTGTCTTCCAGCCCTCAGCCAGGCTGCCTTTCTCAGTGAGTGCTCACTGGGACCCCTGCCCTGCTCCTGCTCCCCCTTCCTCCAAGTGATGCTGGCAGGGTCTATTTCTGGCCCTTCAGTTTATAGAGGACTTTGTTCACAACGGCTCTTTGAGATAAGGAATGTAAGTTACTATTGCACCCGTTTTACAGACGAGGGACGGTTGTTGGTGTTCAATCATGTCATGAGTCTTCCTGACCCCGTGGACCACACTGGCAAACACACTGGAGCGGTTCACCATTTTCTTCTCCAATGGAATAAGGCCAACAGAGGTTAAGTGACTTGCCCAGGGTCACACAGGTAGTAGGTGTCTGGGGCTGGGTTTGAACTTAGGTCTTCCTGACTCACAGATTAGGAGACTGACATTTGAAGAAGCAGTATGACTTGTTGATGGACACACAGTAAGTAAATGGTAAAGCTAGCTGCTTTAGCCACAAAGGCCAACACCAAACCTACAGAGAGGCTCTGGCTGAGCTACAACAGGGCAGGGCAAGAGAGACTGACTGACTAGTCAGTCAACAAGGGTTTCCCGTGTGTTACATTTTAATAGGAGAAGGCACCAGCAGCGGAGGGGTCTGCGAAAGACCTCCTTTACACAGTGGGGCTGGAGGAAGCCAGGAGCTAGGGATGAGGCATGAAGGCAAGAGTGGGGAAGGGCCAGAAATGGAGGGCGGTGGGTGGGAAATTAACAGCCAGGAGGCCAGTGGAACCGAACCAGAGTTCATGAAGAGAAGCAAAGTAAGAGGCAGGAAGGACTCAGGGTGTGAAGGGCTTGAAATGCCAAACAGAGGGTTTTATATGTGATCCAGGAGGACTTGGGGGCCAATGGAGTTTACTGAGTGGGGTGGGGGGGGAAGACATGGTCAGATGAGAACTCTAGGAAAATCACTTTGGCAGCTGAAAGAATGAGCTGAGAATTCTGCACCCAGAGTCAGGAAGACAGGAGTTCAAATCTGACCTCAGGCACTTACTAGATGCATGACTCTAGACAAGTCATATAACTATTCACTTCCTCGGTATCCCCACCTGGAAAACTGGAAAAACAATAGCACCTCCCTCCCAGGGTTGTTGTGGGGATAAAAGGTATCTGTAAAGCACTTTAAAGTGTTACCTCAATGCTAGCTACCATTAATTAGCAAGAGGTGACGAGGGTGGTACAGGAGAGATGTCATAAAGGCAGATCAGACATGGGGAACGAGTGGGAGGGAGGGGTCAGTGATGACACTGAAGCTTCTGGCCTGGCTAAAGGGATGATGGTGCCTTCCACAATAAGAAAGATGGGAAGATTTCTACTTTGGACTGGTTGAGTTTGAGATGCCTATGGGAAGGTTTCCAGTTATGGGCAGGAATGGAGCTCAGGAGAGATGTTAGGGCTGGATATGTGACGGAACCCATGGGAGCTTATGAGGACACTGGTCTAGTTCCTTTATCACTACCCAGGCTCTCATGTGCTCAAGACTCATCGGGAGAATGGCCAATTGCTTAGCATGGTACTCAAGGCCCTCCATGATTCGGCCCAACCTCCCTCAAAACACATCTGAACTCGCCCCTCTCCTTTCTCATGTCCGTGACTGCTCAGGCCATTCTCTAGGCTTGGAAGGTCTGTCACCTAGCCACATTTTTTCAATCCTTTAAGGCCTAGCTCAAGTCCAACCTTTTCTTCGATGTCTTTCCTAACTAGTTCAGGCCATGGGATCTGTTCCTCTTCTAAATCCCATGACCATTTGTTGTTTGTACCATTAACATGACACATTTTAGTTATTTTTTCCATTTGTACCCTCTCTGTGTCCCATCACCCCGCAACTGGATGACAAACTCATGAGGGCCTAAGACACTGGTCTGAGGAAAGACCATGGGGCATATTAAAAAGACCATTGGACTTGAAGTTGAGAGAAACCTGGATTGAAACACAGCCCTAACACTCATTAACTCTGTGACCTTGGGCAAGGTGGGAAACCTTGGAGCCTTATTTTTATCTCTTTATGAGAGAGAGAGAGAGAGAGAGAGCGAGAGAGAGAGAGAGAGAGAGAGTGCCAGAGCCAGAGCCAGCCTACCTAAAGGACAACTCACCTCACTGGGCTGGGGTGAGATCAAATAAAAAAATGAGGTAAAATGAGGTAATGTGTAGAAAGCCCCAGATAAATCATTAACATTACTACTACGCTTATCCTATATCCCACAAACCTTAGCACAGGGCTGGCTCTGCTGAAGAGCTGTCCAGCTTAGAGTTTAAAAACACAGGCCAGGAAGCACTGAAGCAAGCTGGCACTCACTAAGCTGTCCTGAGTGTGGCCCATTGACCTAGGCTAGGGGCTGGCAGGGTGGGGAAGGGACGAGGTAAGAAGTATTTCCTCCCTCCAGGAGTTCAGAGAAGAAAGTGATTAAGATGCCAATCCAGGTAGCTCCAGCATTCCAACTGGCAAGTTCCATCCAGAGGATGTGACTGAGGGAGAGCTCCAAAAGAAGGCCTCCAACTGTAATGTCTCCACCAAACCAGCAGGGTGAAGGAGCATGGGGGCCCACAGTGGACAGAGCCACCTCTTTTCCTTCGCACCCTGTCCCCCAAACAAGCTGGGACATGTCATAGAGCAACCAGAGTAGAAAGAGCACTGATCTGGGGTCACAAGATCCAACTAGTGTGTTGACCTGGAACTAGTCACTTCACCTCGGAGGCTCAGTTTTCCCATCTATAAAAAGGGATCCCACCCACCTTCCAGAGTTGTTGTAAAGAACGACCTTCGGCCTACAGATGTGTGAGTTATTCTGATCTCAGGGGAGATCATCTCTCTCCACAATTTTCAGAGAATAAAATCCCTGGTCCTTGACATCAGGATGGAGACAGCCTTTTTAGTCAAGTTCCCACCATTTCTAGGCCCCCTGCCCTTCAATCTCAAACCTCAAAGTACTGTTTCCCACTGACTGGACCTCACCACCCCCTTAGCTCCCTTCCAAGGCTTATTTTAGGTGCTACCTCCTTCAAACAGACTTTGCTGATTTCTCCCGTTGCTGGTGCCCCCTGCCCCAATTACTGATGGGGGCTGGAGTGGAGAGACAGTATCTTGTGAAACTTTTAAGCCCCTAGTAGAATGCAGACTCCTTTAACTCTGCTACCTGGGGTCTCACCTCCTCATTCTACCCAAACTGCTTTCTCCCTGAAGTTACTAATGAGGTTGCTGCCAAATCTACTGGCTTTTCTTGACCTCTCTGCAGTCTCTGACACTGCTGATCATCATCTCCTCCCTGATGCTCTCTTCTAGGTTTCTATCTGTGGCCTCACTGTCTCCTGGACTTCCTCCATCTGACTGTTCTTTCTCAGTCTCTGCAGGATTCATCCAGCTCCTGCCTGGGAGACCCAAAGGGCCCTCTTCTCTCCTTCACACCATTTCACTGGGAGATCTCACCAGCTCCCATGGATTCAATTATCATCTCTATGCTGACAACTCTCAAATCTACTTCTCCTGACCTCCAGTCTCCCATTTCCAACTGCCTATTAGACATCTCAAAGAGGGAAACCCTGCAGACATCTTAACTTTCCCCCTTCCCAATGTCCCCATCACTGTTGGGGGCACTAACCATCTTCCCGAGTCCTCCAGACTAGAGGTCATCCTTGACTCCTCACCCCCCCCCCAGCTGTTGCCAAGCCCTGTCAGTTGCTCTATGGTAACACCTCAGGCCTGGACTCTTCTAACAGCCTGTCGTTTGGGCTGCCTGCCCCAAGTCTCTCCCTACTCCAGTCCATCCTCTTCCCAGCTGCCAAAGTGATTTTCCCACAGCAAAGGTTCATCCATGTCACCCCTTCTACTCAATAAACTTGAGTGGCTCCCCGTCATCTCCAGGATCAAACAATAAAGCCCTTCCTCAACTGGCCCCTTCTATCTCCTTTGCTTTCTTCTGCCTTATACACTCCCATCTCCTCTGCTCTCCAGGACCAGCCTCCTCACTGCTCTCTCAAAAGAACTCCCTCTCCTGCCTCCAGGCATTTTCTCGGCTCTCCCCTAGGTCTGGAACGCTCACCTTCAACTCTGCTGAAGTCCCAGCCAAAATCCCAGCTTCCACAAGAAGCCTCTTTCAGTTTCTCTTAATTCTAGTGCCTTCTCTCTGTGGGTTACTGCTTATTTGGACATAATTCTTTGCATGCTGTTTTCTCCACTAGGCTGCGAGGTCCTTGAAGACAGCGACTTTCCTTGCTCTCCCCAGACCACAGCTCGGGTACCTGACAGGTAGCAGGCACTTAGTAAATGTTTACACTCTGACCAGCCCCAGCCTTAGCACGCTGCCTGGTGCCCAGGGATTAACAAATGCTTGCTAAGTCACCGCCTTCCTGTTTTGGGGCCTAAAGCTCTGCAGAGAGTGTCCCAACAGACACTCTTTCTTTATACCCACCATCCTGCCCAAGCCTCTGCGCTGTTTAATTCCTGAATCAAAAGCCCTGGTCCAGCAGTCAAAACGTATCAAGGCAGAGGCCCCCACTTCCCCTGGGAAGGGTGCGGGGCCACTCTGGAGCTTTCCTGCTGCCCCCCAAACCCAG